TTCATAAAAGTGCGTCTTTTTTATAAGTTCCTTTGTCTAAGTTTATGAAAAAGACTTCGAAACTTGTGTTATATGTTCTAATTAATAATAGAGGTAATATATCCAAAAAACCCGGTATATGAACCACATTTGCACCTGCTGCTTGTGATTACAGATGCAGTAGATAACGAGTGTCATCCATAGAGTTAGAAACATCCCAATGAGGTGAAAAGACCACGTTTGTATGCTTCTTGCCTCATTAAAATATCTTAACTCAATACTGTCTACAAACAGTATTCAAAAAAGTTGACTCATTTACAATCCTTTGTATGCTTTTTTGTAGCGAAAAACAACAAAAGTAACAGAAAATCAAAGAAATAATCAAATATATTTAAACATATTATCTAAAAGCTCAAAATTGAAGAGAAGATAAATCATCGGTAAAGGAATCATGACATCGCATGGTTAAGTATAATCAGGTATTAACTATCGTTGCTATTCAGATTTCCTCAGTCCCATTCATTCAAGTTCCTTCGGAGAGTAAACTGAAATCTTCGGAGAGTAATCGGGTTACAACACAATGCAGACAAGAAACTTACAAATTGGCAATGCCAGATGCCTAAGGACATAAATTTTACAAGATTCCTTATCATTTGAAACAATTTGGGAGAGTTTTGCTTATCTTTGTCCTGGTTTCCAACTTCTGCTATGAGTTAATTCTACAGACGATACCTCCACGTCCGAGAAACTATCTATCTATGTTTCTTAGATTTGTATTCGCTAGGTCGCTGGCACAAATCGATAGCGAAAATAACAAATTTCAAAGAGGTTTTACTGAAATAACTTCATAACTCAATCAAGTTTAGATAATCAATACGTAAAATCAACACTAAATATAAATTACAGAGAAAGTAAAAACAAAAATTTCTTAAAAAAGTGTTTACCTTGTGATTCTATTATTTAATATTTTCACGTTCTTTTAATTTGCAATAACCGGAATGAATTAAGAGTGCCAACACTTATGTCATGCATTGTAGCAGGAGATGATAATAGTGACCTTTATTTCTTTTTTGCTTTGTTTTGTCAGTTATCATTATCAGCTACAAAGATTACTACACAATGCTCTAAATTTTTCTTCCTTTCTTGGCTTGGAAAGTTTTTACAGGAGATTGCTTATGCCCTCTACAGGACATGATGCCCCCTAAAGGACAGTATGTCCTCTTACATTCAAGCAATACTAAGTCTGCTATCACGAGATCTTCGCTCTATTTAAAAAACATTGAATAGGATGCTTAAAAAATATTATAATTCTGTACTTTCTGTATATTCTTATGATTTTTTAAGGCATTCACATTTTCTATAGAACGAGTCAAATTTAAGGTAAAAGAAGGAGAACGTTACTAAAGGAACTAAGTTTTGTCAACAGATGAAGCTCAATCCTTTTATTTCTTTACTTGACTACTTTTAAGCCAAGCCAAGATGTCGTGACACTTTGTCACATGATCATTAAAGCCTCTAGATAACTGGTTTACTTTAGACACGGGAAAATCAGTATAAATTTTAAAATATATAAACTTCGAGCAAATTTGAATTGGACAGCCTATCATCTTTAAGCTTCGTCATGACTTGTGTTGGGTTCATAAACTTGTTACTCAAGGAAATGCAGGACAGTGAGAAGCTAGTGTTAGTGATGCAAAGAAAAATCGAACTACACACGTTGCTCATTCTCCGCAAAGTGAATTGGAATTTCACCATAAAGCATTGAATCATCATTTTCACCTTTGTTTATTGTGCCTCTTGCTTTATCATTAGTTGTATTGGCGTTCCAGCAGTCACAGGCTAAGCAATAATGCCATCTTCAAACAGTGGATTTTTCACAGTTGCTGGTTTGCAGCCTATGGTAAATGATCAATTTCAGAATTTCGCATATCTGTTTTCAACATACTCTGTTTCTCAAAGAGACCTTCAATCAGACAATTAAAAAATGAAATTATCCAATGAAAGGGAAAATATTTAATGCAGATGTGTAATCAGTTGCATTGTAACACCGATTAAAAACAGTACGAAAACTGACACGCAAGATGAAAAATAGTTCAATTCGAGTCATTAACTGCAATGTTTTCTGTGTCATATTCCTTAAGCTTCAGTAACGGTGGTAGTGCGTCGTATTTCAAAAGTACTTCTTCTTCGCATCCATTCTTGTATTTCAAGCCACCATCCTCTTTCATCTTCTTGGTTATTCTATCCTCTAAATCACATACCTCAGCTATCAAATTTTGATTCGCTTCCAAGTCAATACTGTCAATGGTGGAATCATCATCTTCACAAATAAGCTCCAATAGATTTTCAAGCTGCTTCGGAAATGTTATATTTTTTCGGAGTTTTGAACAAATTTCTTTGCTGGAGATTTTCTTAAAATCATCAAATAGACCAAGATTTTTTCTCCCTAAAAGTCGGTTTAGAAATCCGTCTTCTTCATCAGAATCCTTGTGGTCAAGACATTCCTTGCGCTTTTCCGTCACTTCCAGCCCCTTTTCGCCCCAAGAAGCCATCATTTCTCTGAAAATGAAAGTCAGTTTCCGTAGTTTCTGTGTGATTTTGATCTCGTCATTTTCAGCTAGATAGGTTGAGTCTTCCATCAGTTTGCTCACGTCATGATATTTATTCGAAAATCCACCTGCTTGGAGGTGGGCGGGCTGAGCAGATCGCTCTTTCTCACAACTTGCAACAGCGCTTTCATCCCCCTGTCCAGCAGTCTCTTTCTCTATAACGTTGGAATTTTCTTCATTGCACTGTTTTTGAAATTCAGTAGCTTTGTCGCTAGACGAGCCAACATTTCGAGCATAATGTAAAATGAAAGGAAGAACATTGTTGAGGGTCCACATTTTTTCAAAAAAAACGTCACATGATTGTGGAGAATTATTTTCGTTATTTTCGCAGTTTGACTGTTGAATTAGGCCAGGGTTTAGTTGCTGACTAGCTTCCTTTGAACCAGTTGTAGCCATCGGTTTGAACAATCTTTAGTCTGCTTCACAAGCTAAATCAGAATATCCTCACGACAACCGCTAGCATCCAATCTTTGTAAACATGCAGTTAAAGCAACACTGAATGGTCCAGCATGAGCTCATTTGTAAATATGATATTAATTTAACCACACTTTCGGGTGTTCTTTTCACTTCGAGACAAAACTCGGCATTTCCTCTTCGTCTTGCACGCTAGAAGCTTCAAAATGTTTCATAACAAGTATGCCACAGCCCGATGCATGTGAACAGAGTTACACCAGGTGATTGTTGTGACAGCAATAACAGTAAAGTATAAGAAACTGCAACTTACAGGTCAAACTTTGCAGCATTTTTCATCCACCCATGTAAAATATTCATGACAAACAGTGATCTGTAATATGAAAAGGACCGCTCAACTACCATTGTCGTAAAATATATGATGAGTTTCCTAGTTTTCACTTGCTAACAAAAATATCAAAGACAAGGTGTTATCCTTCAGCTATAACCTTTGCAGCATTCAAGTCTCAAGCAATAAGCATTCCGTGTGACTTCCTCCAGGAGCAGGTGCTAAACTTTATTTACGTCAAATTAAGAGTAAAGCCATAGCAAAGCGGCATTACATGGTTTTAAACAATGTCTATTGTCATTAGTAACTTCTTCATACAGTGTCATTTTTGCAAAACAAAATTGTTCGACAATGAAATCTTCAGTTTCAATAATTTAGAAAAACTGTGTTGATTTATAAGTCGTCAACCTGGCACCTCTTTTGATTAACTTAGTCGCCAATCGAATTGTTCGAAAACGTCTCTTCTGCAACTGCCGAAGTTGAATTTTTCACCAATATTTTTAAAGTTATCAAAAAGTAGCTCTAGCCCATTAGAATAATGACAATGAGATACAGCTGGTTCAGCATGGGTTGCTTTCATTATCTTCATCTTCGTGTGTATTTCACAGAAAGTACCCGTGAGAGCTGTGCAGAGGCCAACAGGCAGGAAACAATTACTTTAGATAGAAGACTCTTTTACAGCTCAAAAAAGCATCAACCTCGGTTGTAATTGTAAATCTACCCCCATAGAACATTAAGAAAGATAAAAACCAAAAACAAAAGACTTGATAGGGTAAGAAAGTTATTATCTAGGTTGAAATCAGGGCTGTTCCCTCAATATTCTATAGAGTATAATGCAAATTTTAATATGACCTGTGCCTTCAAATGGGCTTTGGCGTGGAATTAATGCAACATTCCTCAACAAATTTTATGAAATTGAATTTATCTATTCAGTGTAATATTAGGGTTTTCTTTTCTTGCTTTTATTTCCATAATACCAATAAAACTAAATGCTTTCTTTGCTGAAAAGTTATTCAATGGAGTAGAAAAATTACCATATAATAAATCTATTTTGAACTTTTGACCAGAAAACCTGAAAGAACAACATAAATCAACTCTTAATGTGCAAAAATATATGCGTATAGACTCTTTCCTTTTTTAATCAATGTAATAACGTCTATGTACAAGAATGCATGAGCCATGGAAAAAACGACAGTTGACAATAAGCAAACTGAGGTCTTCAAATGGCTCATCAAAGGATTCTTATATTTTACATGGTCAAAATCTGAAAGGTCATCAAAATCTTCGTTAGAATTTGCTAATTCTGATCACATAAACTGAAAGAGCATCATGAAATACCGCTAAACATTCGAAATCAGTTAAAGATCGTATGAATCGGCTGAAATATGGCCAGATGAGTAAGTCTTGCCACAATAAACCTCTTTGTAATTTGGTCTCTGTTCACAACTTTATGAACAGTGCCAAAATAGCAGCGATTCGTTAGCAAATTTCAAATCTTTCATTGGCTATATCTCATTCGGTTTTTGACTCATTGACTTGTTTTGGATATTTAGAAGTATTTTAGAGTATTTCTAAAAATAGTTTTGTGACGTCACATTTACGAACTCGATTGTGCTCTTGTCATCCAGGATAGCATACTTCCAAAAGAATTCGATATACAGAAAGACAATTGCTTAAATTTTAAGACATTCATGAATATTTATTAAGATACATTAATATATGAAAAATTTCAGTATTATCTTTAATTTATTATCCATTATAACGCAGAATTCAGCCCATGGAAAAGCAGTTAAACTACTGCCCGCAATCTTGTCAATAGCGAGTCACAAATTTCATTATTAAGCAAGACAAAGTTCTGCACACATCTTTCGAGTCTCCACTTTCACCAACAAGAAAGTGGTCTCGCTTCCAAATTCGATCAATACGAATGAGAAAAGGGAAGGCCTGTTTTCTAAAAATACTTTGATATGAATACTGTCCATTAGTTTCTTATCTAATGTGTTATTTTGGAACAAAGGATGTAAGGCAATGGGCACACCAAGGAACGACAGGACTTATGAGGACAGAACTTGAATGCCCAGTGCCAACAGGGCCGTCGCTAGACCGGGGGGAGCGTGTGGGGGAAGCAGCACCCCCCTAGAAAATTCTTGTCGGCAAATTCTCTAAAAGTAGAGTTTTGTCGGGTTTTGCTTTCAAAGTTCCCAAAGCAATAGCTTTAGCGAACAGTTGGGATAAGATGAGGATGTGAACTGCGGTTTATGGAAGGGTCAAAGTTTATTGAAAAACTCTGAACGTTGATCCTCGAGGTACTGGAAGCCACTGTAAGCAGGGAAAGGGGTCAAAGTGCCTCAGGGCCTTGAGGTCGAGGGGGCCACAAGTAGTAATGAACTCCATTTTAAGAATGAAATCAATGAAACGTAGGTATGCCTAAAAATAGTTAAAAGTTCTAAACGATTGCAAGAAATGACTGCAAGAAATATTCTGAAATGCATTTTAAGACAATCTAAAGGGCGTGGTCGCAAAAATTTTCTCCTCGCTCCGCTTGCAGGGGGACCTCGTCTTTCTGTTTTGTTTCAAGAAGGCCTTATAAAACCTAAGTACCCACAATCACTCGAAAATTGAAGCGATGATTGACTAACGAGAACATCCTCTTTGATAAAAAAATCAATTGCGTCGAAACGCCATACCCCCACATTGAAAAATCTTAGGCCACGCCCTATTTTGTTGGCAAATTGGTGACTGGCACCCCCCTAAGTGAAAGTGCTTAGCGACGGCCCTGAGTGCCAATGGTTGAAAGCTGGCGCAGTTTCTTTCGAGCAAAATAAATTGAACAATCTAGCAGATATGTGTTGCAAAACACTTATACATCGATACCCATGACACTATTATCGATATAGTCATTACCATTGTCCCAACGAAAACTACCAAAATGTCCATTGCAAACTCGTACCATCTTAACTTTGTACAATATATTTTCATGTGAAATAAGGCAGGAAAAATGAATTCAAGTGTTATTCCTGTTACGCTTCCGACGAAAGCTAGCAAAAATGTATAATGTGGTATCGAAGCTGCCATTAGAATTGTGAAAAGCACCATGGCCAGTCTCAAGATTTGAACCTTACACGAATAAATGTTCTCTCCAAAGTTTTTTGCCAAACAGCTACTTCGTGAAGTCTCTATGACGTCAAACGCGGTGAAAACAGGCAGTGTATACGATGTAAACGCTAATATTGCCGCCATGGCGTTTACTATTTGGCGAAAGAAACCTTCTGGTAGATTATTTGTTATTACTTCGTCTGTATCGGGGTAAAAAGTCACCCCTGCTACAATACCAATGATGACATTAAGTGCAGTCATGGCAACAAACGACCAGTTCAAAGTTTTTTCAAATTTTTCGGGTCTTTTCATTGTACTCTCGATAAAAGCAACGAAGGGCTGTGCAAGATAGCAAGAGACTAGGATTGCCACTGCAGCCGGAAAAGCATTTGCCTCAAAGTTGTCAAGGTTGTTGACTTCCCATTTCTTATATTTCGATACACTAAAGCCAATGATACTGATGAAGATAATTTTAGCACTGAGCACAGTAATGATACTTGTCCAAGCAACTTGCGACAAGTTCTTGAGTAAAGTGTTTGGCAGCAAGGCCAGGCCACCTATCAATGTCCATGCAAACAGCGGCAACTTGACTCCAGGGAATGACTTAGCAAACATTGCACCAACAAGCACAGGGTAAAGTGTAGCCACAAACAACAGCTCGATCACCATCACCATTAATACTAGCCATTTACCACCGCCTGGCCAAAATGCCTCTCCTATTTCCATGTAGCTACTGCGAACTCGAATTTTCACACCATCTTTCTCCTCGTACAAACTTTTGACAATAATATTACTGGTATAGTTCGAAGTAATTGCTATTACTAACAACGTTGCTAGCGACCACCAGCCCCCAATCTTAAATGTGTATGGGATCGCTAATATAGGAAGTCCTTGGATGGTGTTACAGATATTCCAAAATGTTTCGAATACTGTTGTTAATTCCACGCTTTTCGCCTCTTCTTCTAATTTTTCTACTACTTTTTCTTCATCTTTTTCGTAAAGTAATGCCGTCTCATCTGAAACCTCGATATCTCTCTCGCCGGGATCATTTACTTTTGATGATTCTTGGGTATTTTTCTCGGAAGTTGTCAAATTACTTTGTTCTTCGTCTTGCCCGGATTCAACAGCCGTAGAAAACGATTGAATGTTCTGGTCGCTAGTTGTGGCGCTTTGCTCTCCATATTCATCAGTCAATTTTTCGCTTGTATTTTCAGTCACACTTGCACTAGCCGATACTTCGGTGTATTCTATAATTGCTTCGGTTTGGCTATTGGAATCTACTGCAAATCCTTCATCGGGAGGCCCCTCTTGGTTTGTATTGCTAACATCATCCCTATTCGACATACTGGTCTGATAAAAACATTTAATTTAATGGAACAGACATTAAAATCGATTACTTTCTCTACCAAGGTTGAAAGTTGATATAAATACAAAAATATTTTTTTACCTGCTCGTTTAAAACTTCAGGTAGATTATTCACCAAGATCAATGAATTTTGACGCCTCGCTTCTCCTACTTGCATACATACTCGTTGGAGCATGAAAGCAAGTACTCTTTTGGTCCCAATGAGGTAAAATTTTTACCTCATTGTTTGGTCTAGTTGGCCATTGTCGTTTTTACAATACATAAGCCATTGAAAAGATACCAATTCAAAATACAGCCTCCGTTTGAAACGGATTGAGAGCAAGAACTTCTTAGCGGTTTTCTTTTTTGTTATTGCATCCTATTTTGATTTTATGACGACATAAAGAAAATAATTTTGACCTTATTTCTATGGATTTGACCGTGGTTGGTGCCTGAGGAGATAAAGGTTCACCTGGAACGATTGTTGCGGTCAAATCCCTCAAAAGTTTTCATACTTCATTTCTCCGTAAAATCGAAAATACAAGCACAAAAAATTTAAAGAATTTCATGCGGCCTAAAACTATGGTGATAAAACCAAATTTGAGCTTAAAAAATTCGGACAATGAAGTTTGGAGAAATTTCCATAAGTTGAATTGGTGTATACTATAGAGTCAAGCACAAGAGCGTGAATTTCACCATTCATTAAAGCCCTTGGCGCTTTTAAGTTTTGACTGCTTTGAGGGGGCACTTTTTCAAGGGGGCACTTTTTGAGGGTGGTTGTGTTTTGAATTTTTGAGGGTAGGCACTTTTTAGAAGAAATGCAGTAGTCGGAAAGCTATTCTTGCCAATAGTGTTTTACTTTGAGTTAACCGCTTTCTTTTAAAACAACCCCCCCCCCCACACCCCTTCGAAGGAACTAAAGGATAAAAAAGAGCGAGCCAACGTTTTTGCCAGCAGAGCAATAGTGAACAACCGGACTAAAGCATGAAACTTGGCAAAATTCGATAAACTGAAAAACATCCGAGCTCTCGTGCTATTTTCAGACTGGAGCACTCTAGCTACAACGTGTCACCACGGAGACTTTCTTTATAAAAAACATGCTGTAGAGAATTAGAAATCGAGAGTTTGTATCCGGAAGCTGAATATTGATTTGAGCAACATAGAATAGAATTTAGAGACGGCAGAATAATGTTGTTGCAAGTAAACAGTTTTGTTGAGTTAGTTGGATTTGAGACAGTATGATGTATAAGAGATGTATAAGAAGTTAAGATAAAGCGAAGTATTACAAAATGGCCTCTCTTGATTGTTGTGTTTCTGCACAATATTAGATTAGAACCAGCGAAGATTTGTGACAAATAAAGCACTGGTCACCCATCCATGATGCTATTGCTGTACCCTAGGTACCAGAACTACATGGATTCGACCGCGCAAATAGAAGATAGGAGTGGGGACCTAGACGCTCCTCCACTCCCCTGCTTAAAATTCTGTGGCTCTGGTACCCAGGGTAATATTACTGTTACTTTTCAAAGTTGATTATTATCAGCATAGCACAGTAAATGCGAACTAACGATATCTAGCCACAATTATTTTCTTGTCATGCTTTAGATTCCAAGAGTATCTTGGTATAGCAATCTCGCATGGGATAAAATAAATGAATTCATCAGTTTACAGTTTAGGGCATAAAGCATCATTACACATTTTCTTCTGTGCAAAATTTTCTCTAAGAGTCGCAAAAAATGAATTCTTTTTGAAATATTTCAATTCGACACACCGTAAGGCATTGAACGAAAAACGGTATCAATACCACAACTAAAACGAGGAGTTTTGGAAAATGGAATGATACTTTTTATGACTGGACATTGGCAGACTGTTTATTGAGGGGTTAAAATAGTAAAATGACGCCATTAAGACCATCATAAAACCTGGATAACGCTCTTTCAGTGGATTGATGGTTAACATGTGTTTTAACAAAATTGCAGTAACTCTATTCATTCATACATTTACTTATTTTTATCATAACATCTATCAACACCATTTTCTTAAGCTCTGCATTCTTAAATACTCACTACACGTCAATTTACTTTTACTTTTGCTTAGGCCCACAAGACTCCTAACTCATGCTTCATGCGCCACTATAAGAGCCACTAAAAATTCTTAATAAGAAACAAAACTTTGGAAAAAAACAACATTAAGTTTACCCACAAGTTACCTTCTTCGTCAGATTCAAGCGAGGGACAGCACACTATTGCAAATAGCGTACGAGGTTATCACGAAGACAAAAGGATTCCCAGAGACTTCCAGATAAAATTTTAAGGTTTCCAACAAAGGTTTATGAGATCTTAATAGAGTAATTTACCTCTAGGGTTCAACTATATTCTAATGAGATAAAAGGTAAACTTTCCAAGTTTCAAATACGAGTGTGTCTGAATAAGGCAATAAGAAGAACAAACTAGAGAAAGTACTTCTGTCGTAAATGGCAATCTTTTATTGTAGCCACTAGCGATAAACCTGCATGTTACTCCTTTGTGAAACAGTTTACCCTTAACGTCTCATGTCCAATCACAATTGTTTAAATGGATATATGCTAGACATTGTCAATAAAATCCGTCATGCCTGTGGCCATCAGCTCAATTCTATTTCAAAATATAAAACTTTGTTTCGAGACAAAAAGTAGAAGCACTGTTATTCTTGTTGTAAAAATGTACCACTTAACAGCTTTTTGTCCTTTAATTTTCTGCTGTTGATGTGAAATTCCTTTGCAAATTTTACTAATTTTACTAATCATCAAGATCCATCTTATCTTTATCTACCATAGTCTCTAATACTTTGCCATCCCAAGCACAAGTCCAACATGATATTCTGTTTAAATCCCAGGCAAGGCCTTTCACATAATCACTATGTACTTTTCTATGTAGCCTGACAAAAAGGAAAAAAGGTTAAAAACAAACAATGGGAAAAGTATACTAGACAAGGTGAAGAGTCTGTGTGAGCCAACGAACTCTTTCTCTCTATACACTTCCAAGTTTTGTACTTTTGTAAAAAGACACCAAAATACCTAGCTGACTAGACGAACACTCGTTCCTTTGTAACTGAGATGACAATACTCTTTTGGAACATTCTTAGTTTTCGCATAAATGTATCTGTATTTCGTGCTACTTTGAGATAATTAAATTAGCGAGGAACAAAAACGGATTCCTAGCTAATCTTTAAAATCACGTTAGTCACTAGTTTCAGGTTTATAATCTAATAAAAACTTCGTCTCCTTTCTATCCGTCCATTCCACAGGGACAAATGTTTTTAACATCGAAACTTGCGGCTTTGTGTTTAGCCTTTCAATTCTAAGTTGCGAAAAAATGAAAACTTTAACTTTGCTCGAGACCATGACCTATTTTGAGATATAACGAATTAATTAGCACTTTTTACTTATGTCACGTCAAACAGGCTTTGTGTCGACTGGCACCAGCAATATGCTTGCTTTTAAAACATTGTCGAAGCTTTGAGTTATGACTTGAGTAAAAACAATTGGACATTAGAGAAAAAATAGACTTACAAGGCTGTATTTTGATCTGACTCTTGGACGTGCAATGTCTGGTCGTCTGAAACACTGGCAATCATGTTGTCTCTACGCAAATATAAATATCAAAATTAACAACATAAGTAACAAAAATGACTACAGTCTTAGAATTTCCATTGACATTTTTCACAGAAATAGTATTAAATTGAGTCTTAAGCAAGCCAAGAACGAACCTTGTGGGACAAAATGCAACGCAATTTGTATTCTTTGCATGGGCCTTGTAAGTCAATACATGTTGACCACGATTTCTCATATCGAATAAGGAGATTCTTCCGTCGCTGTACCCTAGCAAAGATGGCAGTAAAACAAAATCTTTCTAGAACAAAGTTTATATCTAGCAGAAAAAGGTTATAACATACGCATGCTACAAATTGCCTATAGAGTATCTAACTGAAAAAAATAACTTTAGAAGCAGAATATCAAATATTTGTCATGTAGAGTTGCCCTTAGAATACTGCCTCAGTGGCAAGTAAAAAGCAAAAAAAAATATTTGATGTCAGAAAGGACAAATAGGAAATTATAGAAAGTTAGAGAAGAAAAATGCACGAGAAAAATCTCAAAAGGCATTTGATTCAAGTCATTGTTCACTATCAAAAGATGATGTTTCTGAGAAAACATACTTCTTTGTCTGCTACAGGTTTCTTTAAAAACTTAATCTTTTGACAATGAAGAAAGATCAGGATATAAACTAACAAGACCATAAAATCAAAATAAAAAATAGAACAAAAACATGTTTCTGAAAATTAAAATCTCATTATTGTAGCTTGTACTTGACTTGGTACATCCCAAAATGTACACCAATAAAACCCTCAAAGGAACACCAAACCTGTTGGGTGTCGAAAAGTTTGCTTGGAAATGGAGTGAGAGCAGTGGTGCTTCCCTGGACTGTACACGAATTGACTCTAACTTGCAACATTGTAAGTAGAAGGTGAGAACCCTAGTCACTATTAGGCTAGCCTGTCACAGGCCTGGCCATAAGACTTTTAGAAAAGGAGTGAACAGGTCTCCTAGTAACTTTCAGGTGAACTATTTGAAGGTAAATGATAATAAAAACAAAGGAGAATTGATTTCAAAGAGCACAAATTGCTTTTTAAAACAATTTAGAATAGCAAAATATAGCAAAAAGCTATGGCCCTTCTCAAATGGCCAGGCCTGCTGTCACAAGTTCTGCCTGTCACTAGCTGCATTTCAATGACATGCTGTCTTAACTTAGCACCAGGGGTGAAGTGCTAGGGAAGCTCAAGGGGGTTGAGCCCTATTGTTTATGTCAAAAAGTAGCCAATTTCTACTTTTGCTTAGATTTTGCAATATTTTGCACAAGATCCCATCCCCTTGTTATTTTGATAGCATTGCTTTTATACATGATGGAAGATGTCCTGCTTAGTAAATAGTTGATACTGTCATGCTGAAATGAAGCAAGCCTATCAGTCTCCCTATTCAAGTCTAAAAAGTATCAATTCAAGCAAATGTATATGAACAGGAAACTGCTAATGAAGAATAATGGAAACTCAATAAAAAATTACAAAGGTCCAAATTACCTACTACAATCTTTGTATCAGTAGGATGCCAAGTCACAGAACATGGGTATGACGTTTTTTCATGAGCTGTAAAAAAATCTTCTTACTTTAAAAATTGCTTTTAAAAACACAAAAATTTTGAAACATAATGCTTTCAATTAGACATTCTTCAGAGTATATAATGCCAGAACATAGATCCAAAACTCACTTCAGTCCGTTACCAAGTAGCATTTAACAGAAAACCCAGATTCTGCAAACAACTATGATAGTAACATGTTTCAGATTTTTTGTAGAGCCTGATAGTAGTTCCATCTAGCAGTTTTGGAATCTATCTAAATAAACATGAAAAAGCCAACAGAAGGGGTTTCTTTTCAATCCAAAACTCACTTCAGTCCGCTACCAAGTAGCATTTAACAGAAAACCCAGATTCTGCAAACAACTATGATAGTAACATGTTTCAGATTTTTTGTAGAGCCTGATAGTAGTTCCATCTAGCAGTTTTGGAATCTATCTAAATAAACATGAAAAAGCCAACAGAAGGGGTTTCTTTTCAATCCGCAACTGGGTATATATATTTCCTAATGTAGAGTATTGTATCTTATGTTTGATGTTTTATACTCTGAAGAGTGTCAGACAAAAAGCTTTGAAGTTTTAGAATGTTTGCTTTTTTGAAACCCATTTTTAAATTCAGTTACACAAAAGGTTGTTTCCTTCTTACTTTGAAAGAAAGCTTACATAAGACATTAAACAAAATACAAACATAAAGGTAAACAGAACATAATAAGATCTAAGTATTTTTCCCAAATGATTGGTATTGTGTGTTAATATCATGCTAAAGCTTGACTGGTACTTTTTATGCAGATACTTGAAGACAAAACATATTATTGGGCCACAATATAGAGCATGGAATAGATAAATATAGATAGATAAGTTATGATAGCTTGTCTTTTCTGTCCTTCTTAGATATTTAATCTTGTTCAAACTTTGATAACACACTTGCAAAAGGAAGATGTACATTTACTTTTACAAACAAATTTACTACACTGGACACTGGAGGAAACTAAGTTGGACTGAAAATAATGTCTAATTTGAGATAAAACTTAGTGATGTGGCAATGAGGGGAAAGATATTTTATTGACCAATGCTTACTCTCACTTCTGCCCAGTCTTAAAAATTTTTCTCATTAGGTAATGTATATTTATATAGGTACATTGCCCCCAGATCATGTACTACTACACCCCCTTCATATTCATCCTGTTCACATCATTGATTACCTACTGTATTTAGAAAAAATGTATAAATCAAATGGAAGGCTTCAAATGGAAACATGTATGAAATAAAAAATTCAAGAAGGAAATACCTAACAATGAGGCTGGTTTTGCATCTCTAACATCATAAACAAAAATATCTCCATCCTTGAGCAAAAAAGATAAAATTTATTTTGAAAGCAAGCTGGTTAAAACAAAGATACACAAATTCTATTTTCAAGGATTTATAAATAAAGAAATGGCAACAGCCAAATTGGTGAAAAACCTTCTTACATCAGATGCTGATGATGTCAGATCTCCATATTTTTGACTCCAAGCCACAGACAAAACCTTACCAGCATGTGCTAAAATTAAAAAAGTAGACAATTTCAAGATGCAATAGAAAATGGTTCTTCGCAAAACATAACATGCAAAATCCAGGGTTAACAAAATCCCATGTTGCCTAGCTTCTGAAACCATGGAATGTAATTCAATAGATTATGGGCGAATATCATATACCTTTTTTTGCTTTATTTCTATCTTCACAAAGAAACAGATGATACGTAAAATCAAGTATGGAACATCTGAATATGTGATCTCCTCAAAATACTAACCATAAAAAATTTGGTAGAGAAAGTTTTTTGGTGGAGAAAGTTTTCGTTCTTGCTTTCCATTCTTTATTACAGCCTTTGGTATGAAGAATTCTAACAAAATTAGCTTAATAAAAAAGCTCTATAAAACTTGAAGAATGAGAGTCCAATATCACAGCGCAGACATTTTCTTGGTCGAGGGTTCAATAAATATGAGAATATTTTGCATTACCTCTAAACGTGTGAACAGAAACTTCTATGGCTAAATCCCAAACTTTCACACTAAAATGGAAACAGTGACAAAAGTAAACTCATACCAGTTCAAGAAAATTTGCAGTCAAAAACAGGCATTATTTAGTCTATGAAGAAGATTGGCTACATATGTAGAAAAATCTACATTTGGGTGGCTTATTATAAATTTTGTGCTTCTCAGCACAGCACAAATGGGTAAAAAATATCATACACCCTTGATTAAATAAACTGACTCAAAGTTCTAATTCTTAGAAAAGACCTAGTAATCATAATAAATTTGAAATTTGTAATATGACATAAACTGATCTCAGGAAGGCTCATTTATTCTTGACTTCTCATAACATCACCCTAAGCAAACACAGATTTAATATAAACAAAAAATTATCAGTAAATACCATCCATCCCAGCTAGAGCTAGCAAATTGTATTCTGCTTGGATCCAAGCTAACAGAACTGCAAATGTCATCATGTTCATGAAAACTTATTGAGTTCTCCAATGTCCCATTGCTGTTTTGTATTGTCCATAAATCAATTGCCCCTGTGTCTGAAGCAACTATAAGCTGCTTATCATCAACCCAAGATACATCTGAGTTTCCAGCATCAGTTACTACTGCCGCATCAATGTGAGGAATTTCTGGTGCAAATTTTGGGTCAGAGTATATCGCTAACATACCATTCCATGTTCTTGATGTCAGGTTTGACCCAATGATGGCTATTTGCCCATCTTGAAATAGAATGAAAAGTGAAGTTTGAAAAATCTGGACATATTCAACAGTGTATGTAAAATTATCACAGCAAAGTTTATTACACCCACTGAAACTATGCAAGTTACTGTCTATAGGGTCAGGATAAAGGAACTAAGATCTGATTAAAAACCTGTAATTCACTTTCAAATTTCTGCTGTCTCTTTGTGGAACAGTTTTTTTCCCTGAAACAAGACCACCCTCAATAAGAGCAAGCCTTGAAAAGGTGATCGAGCCTTTGCTCTTGAATTTTTATTGCGTTTTAGTACTGTTTCTAGCTACCTTTTCTTGGCCAACATTTAATTCAAATGTACTCAGCTATGTATGTTGATATAGAACCTAATGTTTGAATGTTTGAACAAAAGGCCAAAAATAGATCAAACCAGGACTTTGCCTTCATAAAGAGCACACAAAAACATGAAAGTTTGCCAAGGAAAAGAGGCTAGAAACAGTACTAAAACACCATAGAAATGTTAGAGTAACAGCTTGTTTGCATCATCAAGGCTTGCTCTTGTCAAAGAATAGGTGGTCTTGTTTCGGACCACAAGAGCCTTTTCCGCCAAGAGACAGGTTGCAAAAAGGAGGGTAAATCTAGGGGTTTTTATTAGATTTCAGTTTATTTAATCCTATCTTGACAAGATGACTGTTACTTTAATCAGGCCTGGTATACACAGATGGACAGCAATTTCAAAATAAATCTCCTATATTTTTTTTATCTTTATTTGTCACTTCATACTATGCAATCAAGAGACTTAAAAGCAAATTATAAAACAGCTAAAACCAGTTAAACTTGCACAATCAAAATAAAATCAGGCTTATTGAAAGCTAGAATTCAAACTGTAGCTTTTTGTAAGTTAGACCAAACAAACTCAGGGCGTCCATTATCGAAGTACCTTGCTGTAGGACAATTTCTGGTCATGTAAGCTTCTTAAAGATGACTTTTATTTTTTTTAAAGCTCTTAAAAAGAAATGGCTACAAAGCTCACCTTTGTTAAAGCTTAAAGAATCAAGACATTTGAGCGCTTTCGAGTGTGTTTTTATTCCTTCCATTTTCGTCCTTTTGACTCACATGGTTGAGCCTCTACTCCAACAACAAACTAGTCTCTTTTTCATATTATGAAGTGCAAGATGAGCTGCAGGACTTCTTACTTGTAGTGCTGTAGTGAGATGACAAAGCGGAAAAAAGGGTGAAGAACACAGCAAATTTTGCGTTTATGCATCCTTCAAGTTCCTTTCTTGAAGATCATTTGCCAGGAAGTCTAAAGCCCAGTTCATACGGTTTGCTGTGGATATGATCAATACAGGTTTCGTTGATTTGGGGTTGATTTCAGCTGTAGTAATTTTTTTTGGCAGCAGCAAATCACCAAACACGTTTTCAGCACCGACAGCAAGAAAGGCATTATCTAAAGCTCAGCAGAAGATTAAGTTATCTATAACTTCTTAACACTAACATTAAATAAATTTTGCAATGAATAGGTTAGTTTTCTGTGTGTTAAGAAACGAATCATCGCTTTCTTGAAAAGTTTGTCTAATTTGGTACATTGTAATGATTTTACCAGAGGCGTCGCGACCGGGGGTGTGGGATGTGTCACACCCCCCAATACTATCTCAATAGGAAGTTTCAGGTAAAATCCGCTCAGTGGAAGAAAAGATTAAGATAGTACAGAGACCTTCACGTCTTATAATCAATATAGGGTCAAGCAAAGGTAGTTGCTCCGTTGGTTAAATATGATTCCTTGATATGAATGAAGGTAAACAAACTAAGCATAAATGCCTTCAAGATTTCTTGTTGCCACTAAATCCAAAAAACCTTGCCCTATCCAAGTACAAGTGTGCCTTGTGTCCATTTTCCCTAAAGTTTCTCGGTAGAAGCGTCAACTGCAATTCATAATGAGCTCCAGACCTTTTCTACATTCTGAAGGAATGCCAAGATGGAAAGGGGGACACAAAATTGACAACTAGTGCCTGCTTGTTACCCGGCTTTAGAAGTAACGCAGGAACATGAATACTTTCAAGACCATGGCGTAATTGTACCAGTTATTCTTATCTGCTGTTCAATCCGTTTGCAAAAATAAATGAATTTTCAATAGGAAAAGGAGGATTGCTCTAGTGAAAATTGCTTGAAAGAATGCATTTTCCAGGGAACTGGAAGCAAAATTCGAATACATTCTGTTCCTTCTGCGCCATCATGGTACCGCCTCAGGTAATAACTATATCCTTGGCCTGTCCCTATATACAGATATGACAAGAGTCTTAGGAAAGGAGAGTCCCTTATGATATAATTATATAAATGGAAGTTTTGAATTTTGTGCCACATAGTTAGGTTGAAAAAATGTATTGCAGAGGTTTGCTAAATTTCAGGTAATCTTTTTCTAATCAGGTAAATTCCTAGTCCATACAAGAACTGGATTTTACCGAACTTTGCCATTTTTCTCATAACTAGAGAACTTGAAGATCACCCAAAACCATATTTCCTATTCCATTCGATGCAGCAAAAATGCGCTTTGTGAACTTGTGCTATATCTAGGCCATTATTAATAAAAAAAAATTTCCTTAGATTCAGACAACAAGTTTCTGCCGCTCTGTCTACAGGCTCGTTGTATTTCGATAGTGCACAGAGCGCGGATCATATTACGGATCAGTCTAAGCATGCAAAATATCAAAAACAAGATTATTTTTTATTGTTTAGGTATATTTTTTGAATTTTTAGGGGGTCTTAAGCCACCCCCTAGCCCTCGTTTCCACAGTCCTTGTACGGAAAAGCCTAAATCTTTTGCAGACAAATAACAAAGAGCGGGGAAAGTTCGTGATATCTTTCTGTCATTAAGAACGAAGATAGGGGAGATGATTGGAAAGGTTTGCAGTGTCAGTATAGCATTTTAAAATTCTCAAATAAGAAGAAAAAGCAAAAAAATGAATCAGTATTTTGTTAGAAATCTGTAATCTATAATCTCAAAACGAATTGATTTACTTTCATCTGAGCCTTTAAACACAATTATAAAAGATTTAGTTAACGTCATAAAACCCTACTGACAAATCCCGATAATAACTATATGTTGAAAGTAAATTAGTACATATAAAAATTACTCTCTTACTACGATTTTAAATTCAAATTTTTATACAAATATTTGAAATAGAGAGATAGAAATTCAAATTTTCTATCTAAATCTATTTTTAATGCAAAATCACTGCTTCATAATGTGCAGAGATAGCACATCATTAAACTGTTGAATAAATTTATTGAAGTGATTTCACATCAAACTTACCAAATACTTTTATGAGTCATACAAAAAATATCCTGGCCCTAAGAACCTGAAATGACTTACGGAAATAAATCACCCTACGGAATATTTTTGAAATGCTAAAGAAGCATTTAAAATTAGAGGAGGCTTAGGTTTTTATTCTCTGAAAGCAGTAAAACAAAAAATACTCATATTCCGAAGTAATGTCTTCGTCAAGAAACTCCCCCGAGCTTTTACTGGTGACTATTAAAAGTGTCTGAAATATTACTGCATGAAAATCTAATTTTCAAAACATCCATAACAACAAATAATGCATTGGTTATTAAGTTAAATAACTACTTTTACAGTGTCAAATTGTTAATGAAAAGTCAAGTTCGTATAGTAACCACAAACATCATGACACGGTAATTGACTAATCCTGCAACAAAGATGAATTTCATTTCGGTTTGGAAATATTGTTCATTCCTACATGTAACAAATAGGGTTTACAATCACAGTCAAAAAAATTCACTCATCATCATATCGCCAATAAAACTGCTTTGGTTCTGCCTTCAGGACAGTTAACATTTAAAAAAGAATTTTTCGTGCAACTAGTAGGCGACTCACCAACATTATATTTGAAGCAAAGAGTAGAGAGAGTGGTAAAGTAAGTTCAAAGAAATGAAAAAAAAGCAAATGAATTGAGTGCTACTGCTTTTTATGCGCGCGGGATGCGCTGTGACCTAACCCTAGACCGAGGTAAGACGCCATGTTTCCAATCAGACCCGGATCCAATTAATTCTACCTGGACCTGATTGTGAGTATTATACATAATGGTTTACACCTAATACACTACAGTTTTATTCAATCTATGTTGTAATACACTATGGCCCTGTTTTTATAATTGGAGAAAGTATTCTTATCCGAGTAAGGAGTGGAACTATAAATATTTCAACTGTTTCTTAAGTGCCCATTTAGTCCATCATCTATTTGAGGTCAAGAAATGAATAAGATTGTTTTAGCTCTTAGAAACAAAAACAAATCTTGCCAAAATACAGTTTAAACATATATTCTGCAAAAGCTATAAAACAGACACAAACAAGATTCTTTATCTAACTGAGCAAGCAGACGAATAAATTTGCTTATTCCATCGCAATATCCCAAAAAAGCACTTACTGAATGTTTATTGTTTTCAATATCTTCTGATTCACTTTCATCGGTTGCATCAGACTGGTCGTCTCTCGTCTCCTTTTCTTCTGTGAAAATCGCACTAATTCTACTTTGCTAGGGCAAAGAGAAAGGTTTATCAATTCTACGGTTCAAAAATTAAACACCTACGTATTCGTTTGGACTTTCAAATTTTCCACTATCCTAGCCAGCGCCACAAGTACTTCTCTTAAAAAGTAATGCATAGGTGAATGTATTATGTTAGAGTTTAGATAAACAATGGCTTTAAACTTTTAGTAACCAAGGACGATACTGAGCGTGGAGCACTATTCTTTTTGAAGCTCTTAAACTTTAAGATGATAGTTATGTATAACTGTGACAAAAGTTCGAATCGATATAAGGGTAGAAAGCTATAGACTTGTTGAAAATAGGAAAAGTAAAAAGATAAATTTTCTTTAATCCTAAAGCACAGTAGCATTCAATGCTAAGAAAACACTCACAAGGATTCTACTTGCTAAGCAGTGTAAAACAGCATCATGAACAGTGACGAACGCTCGTTGTCTTCCATGAGTTGCGAAAAACCCCGTCACATCAAGCATCGATAAAACATTTTCTACAATTGGAATACCAAATTGGAAATTAAAACTTCATAACAAATTCATTTTAGGTAATAATGCAAAAAGATTCGTTAATTGAATCAACATTTAATTAACGGATCTCAATTTGGCTTTAGTGAAATTCCTCGATAATGATAAAAATTCAAGATTATTGTAATCTCATTGAAAAACAATGCTTAGAAATTATGAGATATGTTTACAAACCAGAACAACTCGCGAGATAAACTTCAACGTTCGTCTTTTTAAAATCCATGACAATCTAAAAAAGATATTTGAATCAATTTTTACACAAATCCAGATTCTTCCGGGAATTCAGACTACATCTTTCCTTTTTTTGGGAAGGCAATGTCAATCTTTAGATTTTTTAACCCAACTCTGTGAAAATGCTTAGCTACCAAAAAAACTATATTCAAGAAAGCAGTGATTTTGATCAAAAATTTTCAGAGAGTTTTAGTATGCAGGACTTCCGATGAAGGGAGGGGGGGGGGGCGGGAGGTGCCATTGCTCTCTAATTTTTTGCAAAATAATAGAAAAAATTTTAAAGCCTTTTGTTATGATTGTTATACTTTCTTCTGGCCCCTCCACTTTCCAACCTGCGTCGGAGCCCATGATATAATAAAACAGGCAGAAAGTTTTGTTTGTGGTTCTTGTATTTTGTTGTTTTGCATTCGCGCGAAATACATCTAAGCAATTTGAGCACATCAAATGCCCAGAAGCCAAAAAGTAAGGTGGTGATATGTGGTAGTTGAAGAAGCGGAGGGGAATGTGGGATCGCGAGCCTAGTAATCTCTCTGCCTCTTTCTTTTATTTAAAAATATTGAGAGATAATTAAACAATTAATAAATGATAAATACGAGATAGATGTTTTTCTAAAAATTAAACATTTCAAAGCTTAAGACTTACACTCCCAAGTGTCGAAACTCCCATTGTGTCGATGTAGCTGTATAAAGAGCAGTCGATAACAATACTATGAACCGACTCGTCACTGTCAAGACGTGAGTTGACACTACGGGATACCTTGTATGTTGGAAGAGAAGTAGGCAAACTCTTTGTCCTTTTAACTGTGACGCTTAACTTTGTCGATGGCAATGTATTGAGTATATCTGGTTTCTGTGAAAAAGAGGTCACTGAAAGTTACACTCAAAACAGGTCAGAAAAAGTAAGAAAAAAGAAGAAAGGAATGATGTAAAAAGAAATGAGAAAGAAGGAAGATAAGAAAGAAAGGAAGCAGAAAGGAAGGAGGAAGAAAGTGGGAAGGAAGGAGGAAGGAAGGAAGAAGGAAGGAGAAAGGAAGGAGGAAAGAAGGAAGGAAGGAAGGAAGGAGGAGAACGGAGGAAGGAAGGAGGAAAGAAGGAAGGAAGGAAGGAAGGAGGAGAACGGAGGAAGGAAGGAGGAAGGAAGGAGGAAGGAAGGAGGAAGGAAGGAGGAAGGAAGGAGGAAGGAAGGAGGAAGGAAGGAGGAAGGAAGGAGGAAGGAAGGAAAGGAAGAGAGGAGGGAAGGAAGAGAGGAAGGAATGAAGACAGAAAGAGAGGGAAGAAGGGTAAGGACGGGAAAATAGAAGCAGTTAGAAGATGGGCGAGGGAAGGAAGGGGAAAGGAGAGATCGAGTCATTTTGTGACCAGAGCAATATGAAGGATAAATTTCTGTTCACTTACGTCACGGCTTTCTAAGTTGTAGGCAACTGAGCATGAATCATCCAGGTCAAACATGACTGCTTTATTCTCTATTCCATTTCTACTAAATTCTTTGGTTTTGCAATCTTCCTCTGCGGTTTCAAGACTACGGGGAACTTGCTGAAACACCAAGTTCATGAAGTGTTCTGTGTTGGCATAGTAGAGCGACGAAGTATACTGAAGGATTTTTACGCCTGGAATTTCCTTTACCTAAAAGAGGTATGCACTCACAATAAAGAGAGCTGCAACTCAAACAAATTATTACGATGCTTCGTAGTCTAGTGTTACAATTAATTAATAGTAGCATTACATTATCATAAATAATGAAATACAAGTAGCTACTTGAGCAAAGAGCCAGATATTTCCCAATTTCCGCCATAAATAAATAATCAGCAGTAATAAATTATCTCAATGCACAAGATAAAAAATGCCAAACTGTATCCTCCAAAGAGTAAACTCATAGAGCTTCTGCGCAGATCGATACGAGCTTACTTTCACAATCATCTGTTTAAGTTTTGAATACAACACAGGAAAAGAATGTAACTAGAATCTGTTATCTTTAAAATAGCATCAAAGTCAAGGCAATGCTAAGGAACAGTACTCACGTTATACTGAATAACAGGTTTGTAAATTTCACTTCCTGGTATGCGTCCAAGAACCAAAAGTGATGGCCTGAAATCGACAAGAGTGTTTCGAAAGCTTCGTATATCACATACATATGCGTACAGGGTGGGGATCTGGGGTTCTGTGGAGCTGGAAACCTGTGGGGCTTGGGGAGTTGCAGCTCCCTTAGAGTTGCAAAAATATCAGTCAATCGAGAAACCGATACCCAATGCAAGGGGAAAGATTTAGTGAACCAAAAAGGCTTAGGCCAGCACTCCAAATTTTTTTCTTTATCACATCTATGTTCAGATATAGGTAGTTTAGAAATTAGAAGATGTTGACTCGACTTTTTCTATATAACACATTAAAGGAAAATATTGTCAATGTAAAATTTTCTGTGTAATTTTAAATCCAACTATCAAGTAATTAACCCATTGTACAAAAAGTGCTTTTCTGCTTTTCTATGCAAAAAATACCTCTTGAAGAAATAGGGCAAATGTACCTAGAAAATCTAGTCATTTTCACCTGATAACACAAAAACCTTAAAATGGGCATACATTGTGACTGTTCATCGGTCATTCGAAATTATGCTTCGAGCCTACTGCTGCACTTTTAGATCAACATTCTTTCAAATCCTTGAAAATGATATCATCAAAAGCTTTTCGAGCTTTATAGACCATATTACTATATATTACATTTGACGTGTATGAATCAGCCTAGTGAGTTTTTTGTACGATTTTGTTTAAATCTAAAGAATATGCATAACTTTCTTTCACCATATTTTCTTAAAATTAGGACTTTATTGTAAATACGTTATTCACAAGAAAATGCGGCTTATCTTGTAGCAAAAGTTTCAGGTAAAAAGAAGTTTTCAATTTTTGACTATCTCAGGAATGAATACTTATTTACGTTCAAAAACAACTTTGTCTTAATACAAAAAACATTTCATTTACGCATAAAGGACAGAAATTATGCATAAAAACAATGTTTGAGGAAAAAATTTAAGGCTGGAGCTCAATTTGTGGCATGGAAATGCTCGCATAACTTTGAATTGCAGTATTACCTGGATGTCCTTGCAACAACTGTTAATAGTGTTAAAACCAATCCGGTGGCTAGGCCATAATCGACTCCAAGGCACACAACAGCTAAGAAGCTTGCAAACCATATGAACTGAAAATAAACCAAAGAATGCAACAGCATTTCGTTTTCAAAGAAAGAATTTGTACTCATGCAAAAAGTTATAACCATATTGATTTATCAGAAACGAAACTACGTGTATACTTATTAACGAATCACATTCACATCAAATGAAAGAAATCGTAGAATCGTTAAATAAAATTTTCAAGCAAGCATGCTATACTGTATTATATAGTTTAGAATACGAAATGAAATGCAAAAAACAGAATTAAAAAGCTACAAAACCCTTAGCAATTGCAACGATCTTTTGATAGAACATGCTTTCAAAACGAAGAATTTTCCATCATTCAATAGCTTCATCGCATAGGAAGTAATGGCCAATTTTTGCTCGGATCGCGGATTTACATGAACTTTCTGTCATAGTTAAGTGCAGTAGAAAGGATGGAATTATTGGGGATGGAGGGCAATGTTTTGGAACAATAGGAACAAGACAAACATTTTCATGGGAAACAAAGGATTATCATGATTTTTTTGGGGGTGGGGTCGAGCCTTAAAAACAATAGAAAGCATGACACTGTTGCTTTTCAACCAATGAAAGACTACAAATCAAATTATAAAGTCACTGTAACAAGTCAATAAAAAAAGTAAACGCAACTGCCGTATATAAGGCATAATTAGGCAAATAAAATCTTACAGCATCAACTTTTGAAATTTTCCAAAGACGCTTCAGAACTTTGAATTGTCTGAATGAGCCTTTCAGTGCTACAAGGACAATGGCCGCTAGAACTGCCTAAAAGTATCAAATATGTATTAATGCATAGAGCATTTGAAGTGTTGCATAAAGAATGTCCTAGACAGAAACGTTGCTGCGTGACCTGAGCACGAAAAAGCAACAATGAGAAAAGAAAAGAATCAATATGTAATTATGCAACACAAAAAATAGCAAATCTCAAGTTGGCCTTGCTTGAAGCTATCGAGCTTGTTTGGAAGAAAGAACCAATAAAGAAAATTGATGAAATAGACCTGTAAAAAGGTCTAGGATTGTTAACTTGATTGATCAAGGTTTAAAACTGCCAAATAAACCTCTTCAACACTCAAAATATATATTCTTAAACTTTGTATTCAGTGATCAAAATGAAACTTGTGAGCCACTTAACGAAAAAAAGCAATACTCACATTCGGAAGTGGCCGAAAAAGAGGCGCCAGTGCAAGCAGCACAAGAAGCATCAGGGCCACGGAAATGAGGCTGGTCACCTAGAGCAACGTAGTTTTAAAAGATCTCAATAATACGTCGTTTTGTGGTACACCAACATTGTTCAATGAGGGGAGAGGAAGGGGGATAGCTGAGTTTGCACTTGAAAACTGACGTTAGTGTATCAGGACTTTTGGCAGGCATTGTATCGTATTTTACCACCAACCTTACCGCGTGCAGTGTGATCATAGAGATGTTTGAGATTGCTTAGCTAAACACAGCTTTATAATACCTAAGAAATGACTATCAAAAGGGTTTGTTTTTCGTCTGCTGGATAATTACCTAAAAATTGTTTTCTAACTAAGTAGATCTAATTTGCACTTGCAAAAATACTATTTTAAGCTTTGATGCTTGTTAGAGTATAATTGAAACGTGACATTGAACCAAAGAACACCGATTTGGAAATGCGACATGGAATCAAATGCTCTTACACCAGCTGCCATACGTTCACAGTTCTGAGCACAAACGTGTTGTCGTGACACTTAAAATGTAGATCTTAAAACAAGATAAGGGCAAAAATACTAAATGCATTACTTAAGTTTAACCTCAAAGCATTCTTAAAACAAAAACATATCATAAAAGATAAAATATCTAAATCTTTTTGCAAATACCTGAGTGCTGCCCAAAGATTCTTGAATTAATGACCGCGAGAGAGAGGCAGCGGATGGAAAGCAGGAAAAGAAAGCCGAAACTGAGTTTGAAAGGCCATATGCAAACAATTCCTTCGAAAGAAAAACCAACGTTACGTGCATGAAAAATACAACATGCATAAAAACCTAAAAAACTTCAAGCAACAGGAAGAGAGGTTATCAAAAGGGTAGATCAAGGATAGATACCATATTGTTTGTCTGTGAGGTTTTAAAAAGAACTTTTTCTACAATCAAAATGCTAGATGCTAATTACTTTTCATTTTAACCATGTAAATACTTTTATTTAGAACAGGGCCCTTATTGATAACAGTGCCTTTGGCACTAAAAAGGTTTTACCCTGTATAAATATTTCTATTATTATTATTATTATTATTATTATTATTATTATTATTATTATTATTATTATTATTATTATTATGGTTCACGCAGGGGTCAATGAGCACATTCGAAAACACCTAAACAGAAATATCGTGAATACAGGATGCTACAGAAACTATTAATTTAGATATCTTCCCTTTGTTGAAGTGAAAGGTAGAAGGGTCATATTGTGGCCATCCTATTTTATTTTATCGCAGCTACCGTAGATTGAAAGTTATACCAAAGTTTTTGAGATGTTGTCTCCTAAGGTTGAACGTAAGGAGGGAGCTATTTCACAGCATGAAGCAATGTGAGAATCTAGGGAGAATTGAGGGTTTGCAATTAAATTCTTCATAATTCATACCGTGGTGTAAAAATAACAAATCTCCCTGGACTCCATTAAAGAGAAATTTGATTTGAAACGCAAAACGGGCGGCATGGCTTTTTCTAAGCAAGACACCTATGCATATGGACACAATAAGTATCTTAGTCTTGTTAACGATAAAGAGAGGGAAATTTTTAAAACTGTTTAGGTTAATGTCCTGATTGCGCGTATGAAAGTGCTGTTCTGTTCGTGATTGCATAGATGTATAGACAAACCCCTGGAGAGAGCACGGCAAACAAACACTGCATAATAAAATACAAAGTAGATACAAAACAAGAAGTTAAAACAAACCTGGTTTGTGTCAATTTGATAATTGTTCTTCTTGGCAAATGATTTTGCTAAAGACACGTTAATTGCAAATGAAACAATTGCTATTGTGAAGCCCTCTCCTAGAATTTGCTGAATAATCGAGAAGGATGGCACTGTCAGTGCGGGCAGCCTAAAAGGAATACAAAAGCAAGCATTGGTTTGGATTGTAAAATTATTCGGGCTTTCTTACCTTTACAATGAGAAGTAAAACTTATGCAAACAAATTATGGAAAAAAGTAAATGTATGAAACCAAAAACAATACACCAAAATACGCTAGCAACGCTAAAATACACTAGGCTATAATACGCTAAAATACACTGGGCTATAATACGCTAAAATACACTAGGCTATAATACGCTAAAATACACTAGGCTATAATACGCTAAAATACACTAGGCTATAATACGCTAAAATACACTAGGCTATAATACGCTAAAATACACTAGGCTATAATACGCTAAAATACACTGGGCTATAATACGCTAAAATACACTAGGCTATAATACGCTAAAATACACTGGGCTATAATACGCTAAAATACACTAGGCTATAATACGCTAAAATACACTGGGCTATAATACGCTAAAATACACTAGGCTATAATACGCTAAAATACACTGGGCTATAATACGCTAAAATACACTAGGCTATAATACGCTAAAATACACTAGGACGACGTTAACAATCCATCCCTTTTTAGATCTATCAATACTAGCAGTTATGCAAAACGACTATATCCTATAATTCGAATTGTATTCCCCTTGCATATTTCGACTCTCTACAAGAATTTGACAAGAATGGCAACAAAGAGCTTTTGAAAAAAATTGAAAAAGGCAGAGCCAGTTATCAAAAATAAGATTTGTTATTATTTGAGACATGATGATAGAGGCAGTAAAAACGCAATGTGGTTAACTGTCACTTTGTTGTTTTACACAAAGAAGACACATTATAATATAACAAGATATAAACAATTTTGGTTTGTCTTTTACCAAAGATTCTTAACTCTTTTCTGGCCAAACCCCCGATTCTGGTACAAATTTGTACCAGCGAAAACTTTGGTCAGCGGTGGCAGGTGAGGCCTCAAATCTAAAGGGAGGTTATATCAAAATGTTCAGCGTGCTTTGCTCTTTCAAATGATACCAAGTTTTTATCGATACAGATTGCGAATTATTTTTACTGTTGAATCAAAAAATCCGAATTTTCTCAAGAGGAATATCAGCTGACTGTTTATCCCGACTCAGGTTAGTGTTTTTATCGTACATTTTGCTGGCTTTTTATGTGTTTTAGGCCCTTGTTTTATTCCTTTTATACTGAAGGTAAAACAACGTTTGATCGCAGAACCTTTCAGAATTTTTAAAATTCGATTTATTTGCATAAATTTGTAGATTTCAGTTCTAAAATGAGTTTTTTACTGTTACAGGCCTAAACTTTGTGAAAAATGTCTTCGTCCAGTGACCTAAGTACCTCAGAATATGATTCAGACGGGGATCTAAGTGAAAGTAGCTCCGCTAGCTCTGATGTTGTCAGTAGGCCGCGACCAAACGACAACGAAGACAGCTCTGATGAAGATAGGGAGGATGAGCTTTCAGTTTCTTCCAAAAAGAAGCCTCCTTTGAAAAAACAACGAAGGCTCATAGCCAGAAGGAAAACTTCATCTCCAGTAAGGCAAGCAGCCTCAAGCTCAACAACATTAGCTGATTCAGACTGGAAAGAAGGTTATCCAACTGAAGATAATTATGTTCCAGAATTAAAATTCATGCCAAATAGAGTGCCAGGTATTCAAGTTGACGCAAGGACCCGTGCAGGAAGATTATCCATGCTTGCAAATGAACTGTCCTTCTTCATGTTATTTTTTACAGAAGAATTGATTGGAATGCTGTGTTCATTTACCAACAAATATGCATCAGCCCACATTGCAGCAAACAGGTCTTATCAAAATTCTGAATCTGGGTGGTCAGAGGTCTCTGTTGGGGAATTCAAAAATTTTATCGCTTGCCTAATTTTCATGGGTCTGGTTGACCTAAAAAGACAGGATTTATACTGGTCATCTGCCACATTATATTCTGGTTCCTGGGCTAAAAGACTTGTTCCTTCTAGGAAGAGATTTAGAGCCATCATGGCTTTCTTTCGTGGTAATGACCCAGCTGGAGAGAATAAGAATGACAAGCTAAGGCAAGTTCGATACATTTATGAACATATCCAGAATAAATGCAGAGAATTGTTTCAGTGTGATAGAGAAGTGGCTATTGATGAAAGAATGGTGAAATCAAAACATAGGTCAGGCATCAGGCAATATAATAAAGACAAACCAACAAAATGGGGGATCAAATTTTTTGTACTCGCAGATTCAAAAACTGGCTATACTTATGCATTTGATGTATATCTTGGAAAACGCGGTACAAAACCATCTGCAATGGGTATTGGATATGATGTGGTTGTTGGGCTGATGGCTGATCTAACAGGGCAAGGCTATAGAGTATATACAGATAACTTCTATACCTCTATTCCCTTGCTCTGTGAGTTAAAAAATAGAGGAATACTAGGCTGTGGGGTGACTGCAGGAAATAGAAAATATTTTCCAAAAGTATTGAAGGACCGAAAGATGTGGTCAAAGAAGGCACAAAGAGGGCACCAGAGATGGATGAGAGAAGAGAATGATGTTCTGATACAGCAATGGAAGGACAATGCCTTAGTGACTCTGTTGTCAACCATTCATTCAGGATCTGAGACATCCACTTGCAAAAGAAGACAGAAAGATTCAAAGACTGGTGTATTTGAAGTAAAAGAATTTCTCCAGCCAAAGGCAATAGAAGATTATAACAAAAATATGAAAGGTGTTGACCAATCAGATCAACTCATTGGTTCTTACAATGTTTTAAGAAAGGTTAAAAAATATTGGAAAGTTTTTTTCTTTCATTTGCTGGATATTGCAATAGTCAACTCGTATATCCTGTTCGAGAAATTTTGTAAATCCCACCCTGAGAGATCAGACTTGCAAAGAAATAAGGACTATGACCAGTTAAGCTACAGACAGGCAGTCATAAGACAACTGGCTGAAATAGAAAGTGGTGAAGCCCCTCCAGCAGCTGTAGGGAATGTTTCTATGTTTCCATCTGGAGTTACCCACCTTCCGGTTTTCAGCGAAAGTCGTGGTCGTTGCAAAGTGTGTGCCCATTATGGTGACAAACAAGGAAGATCCGAAATAACATGCAGTGGTTGTGAGGTACATTTATGTGTAAAGAAGAAAAGAAACTGTTTTTCAATTTACCATTCAAAGGGCTACAAAGGACCCAGATGAAGATTTATGTTTATATGATGGACGTTCACGATTTTTCTTCTGTTTTGTTTAGTTATATTTAACTATTTTTAGTCAAGAGTTCTTTCATTTTAGAGTCCTCCAGCTTTAATTGAAGTCACAAGTAACAATTTAAAGAGAGCACAAATATATCAGTTCTTTAAATTGATTATAGGGCTTCTTTAATCTATAAATCACATATCTATTATTTCTAACACAAAAAGCGCTTGTAACATAAAACCCCCATATTTCCCCTGCCCATATCCCCCCTAAAAATTAATTAATCTGCTAAAGTATGATATGATTTGAAAAATATATGTATATTGAAGTATAAAATTGAATTAAAAGCCATGCAGCATTGACCCTGATGAACTGGGAGGCCAAGAGAAAAAACTAGTAATTTTGGGGGGCTTGTCCAATATCTCTCCCCCAAGCGCAAATTTTTTATTTAATGCCCTATTTTAAAATTTAAATTATTTTCTATTTTTCAAGCTTCATAGACATATCCTGCATGAATAACCTGCACCTGTATTTGCATTTTTAATTATTTTTCAAAATTTGACCATTTTCTAGCATATTCCTCAAATTTTACGTGCCAGAAAAGAGTTAAGAATTCCTTAATTCATATTGCGTGAGAAATTAAAATGTCTTTTGCTTGAATATTTTTTGGAACGAGGTACATTTTTGCAACTAGTTTTCAAAGATAATTTACAATCGCAAGAGGCTTAAGACACCCGGCCATGTAATTTAAAGCTTTCAAATTAGCAGATTTCACTTGTTTTAACAAAAGCTTTAGCAATCAGTACCCGATTTTCACAAAAAGATCTTTAATGAATTATCTTTTCAGTGAACGAAAAAAGCATAAAAGACTCACCCTTTGGGCACACGTTTTAAGATCGGTGTTCCAAAGTTTTCGTTAAACTTGGCACCATAGGAAATACCAGCACCAAGGATAACCTAGATTAAAACACATTTAGACTTAGTTGTTTGCTGTAAGAAAGTGCATATTTTGTTTATTGTCTGAGTGGTAGCCAGGGGTGTTTTGCGAGGCTTAGGCCCTCAGTATTCCAATGCCAGTACTCATTGCAGAAATGCTTATAAAAAGACATGATAAGCTGATGATGGTGACAAACGACTTAATCATGATCGGTTACCAAAACATATCACCTGTTTACATAAAGAACAAAAATTTGATACATCAGGTCTCAGAACCTAAAAACTTTACTTCAAGGCAGTAGTTTCTAGAGTTCAGTAAGACTCGAAAAATGTCTTGCTTGCGTTTCTATACAAAATTATAAGAAATATGCGTACGTACCACGATCAGTTCTGCTGGTATGGGAAATTTGAATTGGTACCGCTGATTTAGATACTTCAAAATGTACAGCAAAATGGCACATGTGATACCAGTTATCAATGCACTCACATTCACATCTCCCAAATGTGTAAAGAAATAGTAATATAGCTGAAAAAAGCAGGATAGTCGCAAATTAAAGAACATACTGCAAAAACCAATCGGAGGGAAAACGGTTTGAAGCCTAGGTGCCGGTAGCAGAGGTATCATGTGCATTACATGCTTCCATACTATTAAAACAAAGTCAAAGACACTCTTACTGTAGCGTTTAAAGCCGTTTGAAATAATACAGCGACAAATATAAGAGACACTTAGTATCACGTACTTTGAATAAACCGAAAATGCCACTGCTTGTTCCTCTTGGCACTGTAAGTCCAAGAAAATGTCTCACTTGGCTGCTTAGAATATGAAATGCAGCCCCGGTTGTAAAACCACTCACAAGTGGGTCGGATAAGTACATTGTTACAAATCCTAGCTGAACGATGCCAAGAAATATCTAAAAAAAAAAATCCGAATTCATGTCTTGAAAAGTGGATGCTTTAATAGGATTTTCAAACGGTTTTGAAAGAAAGAGTGACTAAATTCAGGGGCTGATTACATAGAGCAGGCTGGTCCAGTCAACAGATAAGGAATTTTTTGGTGGGATCCCAATATCAAAAGCATGTGTGTTTAGCAAACTTTCGATTGTATGGAGAACGAGCAACTCCGGTTAGACGGGAGCCGGTCTTCAGCCTTCCGGGCTAGCTCGGCAAAGAGGGCTGAAATTTAATGCTCTTGCTCATTTAATCGATTCAAGCCGGGCCAACCCGACAATGCAGGATACGAATTTAAACGACTCATGCGCTATCGGACGTATTAACATAAATCAAATCACGGAATTGAAGAAAAGGCGATGCAGACAACCCAAACTTTTAAAATCAATTTACCCTCCAATTTTTTTCAATTCCAAAATTTTTACCGCTATTTTTTCAGGCCGGACTGGCGTTCTCAATATAATCGTTCGGACGTTGCAGCCTGGGTGACAAGGCTACTCCTGGCAACCGAGCCAACCTGATCCATGTAATCAGTCCCTCATTTTCAATCTTTCAGATAAAAAGGTTTCTATTTGCAGCACTAACAGACTTCATAGCAATATTCATTAGAAACATAGCCAAATATCACAAAGGCATTCACAAAGATCCAGCTAATTCGGTAAAGTATTTTAATTTCTCTGTTGAACCTTACTGTCTACAATATAACTTATTAAAGATATATCATATTTTCTTTTCTTGAGACTTAAAAAGAACCAGAAAAATATTTACATGCTCCGGATACCTCATAATCAAGGAGCTACGTTGAGAATATACAGGTAAAAGGGAGCAATTATCTGCCTTACTCTGAGGTAGGTAATAAACGCCCCCCCCCTGTTATTTTTTTCGGGTTTTTGATTGAAGCCTCCTGCTCCTTATTTCAAGCTCTCCGTTTTATCGACGATAACATTCGCTTAAAAATTCGAAATTCTAATGTCCTTGGGATCATTTTCAACAGTACGATTTGGCACGTTCTCAATATTTTGAAGGCTGACACACTCCTTCCTCTCCTTTTACTAAATTTTGGACTTGAAAATGGCCCCTCCCCAGTTTATAGGACAGTAACAAGAATTGACTGCAAAACTGACCTGTAGCAAACCAACGAGTAGTGATAAACTGACAGCGACCTCCACTCTGTAGGCCTCAACTAAGTCATCAGTTGCATTGGACGAAATATTACTTCCAACATTAGGTAGCTTGATGCTTGCTTCATATTTATCTGTCATCATCTGAATTGCCTCTCCATTCATTAAACACACGACTGCAAATGTACCTTGGATAGGACGGGTTAAGGAATCAGCCTGTAACTAATGTCACCAAAGACACTACTCACATGTCGAATACTGCCCTCTCTTATCCAACGAAAAGTGTAACAAATGTAATATTTGATTCATTGAGATTCATTTATCTCTTTTTTTATTTAATTATGTAACGAAAATCAAAACTGCCTTAAACTTTTCAACTTACAGAAAGCTGTTATAACAACGCATTTATTTATAACAACGCAATGTTATAAGCTGTTATAACAACGCAATGTTTAAATAAACAAATGCGTTGCCAGTTAAAAATTATGAAGAACACGAAATCATCCAAAAATTTGATAGCTATGAAAGGAAAGGAAAGAAACACGCAAAATTACTTGAAATTCGTATCTAAACATTCTGAAACCTGAAATGTACTTCATCAACGAGCTTCCAGCGAAAGTATATCAAAAAATTTGCCACCATCAACGAAATAAAAATACATCAATTGAATACAGCGATCAAAAAACAAAATATAGAAGCAGATTTATGCAAGAAAACGTTTTATTTTTCAGAAACTCGATAAAACTAACGAGATAACGTCTTATCAAAATTTTCATGTTTCAATGAATTGATCGATATCTCGAAGAACAGGACTTTGGTTAAATTCAAGGAAAGCAAGCTACCAGTTCTAGCAACCAATTACTTTCTAATACTCACCAAGTGAAATATGACGTGACGTGCCAAATATAAAATACACAAGCACAGGAACGAATGACACATATAGTCCATAGATTGGTGGGAGTGAAGTGAGCATTGCATAGGCCATTCCTGAAATTTGAATAAAAAACATTTGTTGCAAAAATAAACTTTTCCTTTTTAAAAGACTTCTAGATAAAATAAATACCAGCCCTACTTCTAGATTAAATAAGTTAAAAGTACACTTTTTCAATGAAAAAACTTCGTATTGTAGATTTTCACTTGGCTGTTTAGTTTATAAATTTTAATAAGATAGAATCTCAGATGATTTAATCCTTAACAGTGGCGGTTCCAGTTGCCCCAGAGCGAGGGTGAGAAGCCCTCAAAAAGGGCGTTGCAACCAAACAGAGAAGCCCTCAAAAAATGTTTAGACTGGCCCCTTTACATTTCTAACAGGCCTATTTTGCATCATTTCAGTTGAACGAATTCAAAAAATTTCCAGTTTTCAGAAAAATTGGGTCGACCTCCTTCCTCCAGCGCCGTTGCTAAACACATTCACTTAAGGGAGTGCCAGTCACCAATTCTCCGATAAAATAGGAATTCATTACTTTATGAGGTTCCTTAGGTCTCGAGGCCCTGGGGCACTTTGCCTCCTTGCCCCTCCTTTCGGTGGCCCTGCTCACAGGGGCTTCCAGTATCTCCAGTTCTTCAATAAACTCTGACCCTTTTCCCAAACTTTAGGTAGAAATCGGGTGGCCCTGCATATGCCAACAGTTGTCTGCTAAGTTATAGACTTTGGCTGCCAACATGGGAGTCATTTAAAATTTTTGGGGGACATTTGCCCCTCCGTGTCACCCATAGCACTATCTGTATAAATTTTGAATTGCTGAGGGTCATGGGTGATAAGAACCAGTAAATTTGTTTTATAAAAACCAGTAAATTCAAGTTCAGGCTGACTGTTCTTAATTTTTTCGAAAATCTGAGGCTGGATTGTTCTTAATTTGTTCTTAAATTAAGAGGGTGTAAGCAGTGCGATTGCTAGCTTTTTCGCTCTAAGGAGGTGTTCAGGCTTCATTTGCCAACAGAGTGAGTGAGACAATCTCCATTTGCTGACAAATTTGAACATTCACCGCAAAAGCACTCACACATCGCTAAAATCCTCAATTTTGAGAAAAAACGTTTTTCAAAATTGCATTTTGCAGAAGCTCAGCCTCAGCTTGTTCTTAACTTTTGACCAGTTTTGAGGCTCGTGTTCTTATAAAATTTGTTGTTATAAAAAAGAGTGTATTTGCTAAAGCTATTGCTTTGGGAAATTTGAAAGCAAAACCCGACAAAACTCTACTTTTCGAATATTTGCCGACAAGAACTTTCTAGGAGTGGTGCTTCACCCCCCGCACCAACCCCCGCTAGCGACGGCCCTTGGTGTGTGGGTGATGGCGTCTTGATCAGATTGATCTCGATTTTCGTTCTTGCAAAATGCTCTCGTTACGAAAAAGACTGCTTTAGAAAGTTGCATAATTCCAGAAATTTCGAAATGGATAGAAAATACAAAAAAGGAGTTTCCCACACTTTCCAAGAGTCTGAAGGGCGTGTTAGTAAAAATATTTGTTCTTTTCAATTTTTCGAGTTGGGGACGTTACTGAAAGGAACCAGTACCCAAGAAAAAAATAGAAATTGAAAAGAACAAGTACCTCGTGGTTGTTTTCAACCCCCCACCCCACAGTCCTTAAAGCCCCTGCTGTTCGCAAAACAAAATATGCTTGCTATATGTTTTGCTGTTGTTGTTCTATTTAGAATTTTTTGTCGATGTGAAGGTTGGTATTCACAGTAAACTTCTCAGAGTCTACTACCCGTTTTGCTGTTTCGATATCCATTTACACACGGAAACCTTGCGAATATAAATTATGAAAACTTCCTTTGAGCGTTCCTGTTTCAGTTCCGTAGGAAGGATAGAATTGTAGGAAGGATAGAATTTTAGAAAAAAATTCTTGGCATGAACAAGAAGGCTAAGCCGCCAAGGACTCTTATGTAAAGCTAGCTTGCTCCAGTGCTCACGGAAAAGTACAAACAACTCAAAGAAATCTTCCTGACCCTTTTACTTTTCATAAACTCTCCATCCAGTAGCAGTTGGGTTAAATCTCTGATAAATTAACATTGTGGGGAATGACTAACCAAAACCAGGTTGCTTTGATTAACAGCTCGTCGCTTTCAGATAATGCTTTATTTATTCCTAGCAACCATTCAATACTGCATAAATCTCCACTTTATCAAGCAAAAACCGGCTTGGTACTCTTTCAATATGCTCTGTAGATCATGACCTGCTGTCGCTTCCGCAACAATAGACAGCGTGGGTCAGATGACATTGAAATACTAAACAAATATTTCATCGAAGCTATTGCTTACCTTGAGGTATCTGCATTATTCCAACGGTCAGGCCACTGGCCATATCTCTGACAAGATCTCTTTTGTAACTATACTTCGGCAGCCAGTTTAGCACTGGTACAAGCGACAAAATAAAAATGGCTAGCCTCTTTCGTGTTACCTGCAATTTCGACGTGTATTCGCGGACCTTACTCCTTAGGCTGGTTTCTTTCTTCGCCTTCAAAAATTTTTTCGAGAATTGGATTTCATTGTACACCGATCGGTTGATCTCAAGTTCTCTCTCAATCCCATGTCCATCTGTTTCATCGTTAAAATCAAGGTGAAAATCCGGCATTTTGACAACAGTTGCTACACAATCGATTGGCAACAAACTTGTTCGTATATGATCCTGTTTCGGTTTCTACGAAACCTCGGGTGAACATGAAAATAGTGAAAGCAATTGTTCGAAAACGACTGTGGTAAACAGTAAGCGAATGCGTGAATCTTTCCCCTCACTCCAACGAAAACCGCCTTTACTGTTGCGAGATTTTTGTAACAACAATTTATTCACTGAACTGTAAGTCGCCTCGCTTCGAATACTGCAAGCTGAGTGGGGATTCCCTGGGTTGAAGGGTCACGGGATCATCGGACAACAAGTCTGAAATAGAAGAAAGAACCCCGTAGGTTGTATTGTATTGTTGGTATAAGTAGTAAGTAGCTGTAGCCCTAGCTTTCTTTCTCATCTTGTGGCCTTCTCACTCTCTTAATGAATTGGTTTTTAATCAGCTTAATTGTCTTGATAATCAGTATATCACCAATAGCAAATATAATTGATACAAAAAAATGAAAACCATTAGCTACTGAACATACTGGAAACAGAGACGGCGCCAGAAAATTGAAGCTGGAGGGGGGGGGAGTGGGCTGAGAATCAAGCTAGTGACATAGGAGGACCCACCATAGCTGGTTCCGACGTGCAAGAAAATTGCTGAGAATAAGCATTCTAAAACGGCTAAAAATGCATCTCCTATACTAAAATTTAAAAAATCACTATACCGCTCAGAATGTTCAACGATTCTCATTAAAATATTGGTTATTGATTTTTAAGAAAAAATTGGGAGGGACGGAGTCATGCTAAAACTATAGTGATAGACAATGGGGAAAGAAAAAAAGGGTGACCTTTGGTTCAGAGTCCACATAAATGTGAATAAAAAGAAGCTGCTGTATTGATAGAGAGATTGTGCTTCGGGATAGGAAAGTGAGTTACAAAAATGAATAAGATTCACGAAAGAGCTTTTAGAATCGCATTCAAGGATACATCGTTAAATTTTGAAGAATTTTTGAAGAAGGCTCAGTAACGATTCACCAAAGAAATCTACAGTTGCTTACTACAGAAATTTATAAAACCAAACATGATCTCAATCCTTAATTCATGAATGAAATCTTCGTCGAGAAGAAAATCTCATATAAGACTATATGTCGTAGTGACAATCTGTCAGTACCAATTCTACGCACAAATGTGTATGGTATAGAGACAAATAGGTACACTGGACACAAACTCTGGAATTCATTGCCACTAGAAAAAAAGAGTCTCATACCTTGACAGAATTAATGCGAAAAAAACACCAATTTTGGAACTGCAACTGTAGATTATGTAAGACAAATGTAAATAATTGAGGATTTTTATAGATATTTGTATGAAAGAAAATGTGAATAAGATTATTTAATTTTCTCGCTTTTGTTAAATGGTTGGCCTCAATTAACTTTATAGCTATCATTATCATGCCAACCTTAAAATAATGAATTACTTTTATTATGTTTTGTACTGACTACAGATGCATCCTTGGCTCATTCCATTCCGTTATCAAATTGATCCCGATCTTTTATAAGAGCCAAGCTAAAGCAACAGTGCTAAGCATTCATTAGCAACAGTACCTTAATAAGCTCTTTCTCTTTCCAAGGACAGATCCAGGAAAATAACTATGGATACTAGAATATAACATTGAATCATGCAAAAAATTTACTACTAAATTGGATTTTCTAATAGTGTTGTTAATCGTCTTACATTATTTTTCTAAAAATACATCTTATCTAGCATTGACTCGTTGATTCATTATCTAGGCTGGCAAATTAACCATCTTACCCCATTGGTGCCGTCCTAAAACGTTAGAAGAGGGGTTTTGTTATACACACTTTTTTTATATTTGTACACACTTTTGTAGAGTATAGTCTGTAAGAATATTAAGGCTCAAAATTGCAGAAATTTAAGAATAATTTAAGAATAATGCAGTAAATTGAACTCTTTGTTTATTTAAGTTTTTTGAAAAGAGAAACAAATGCAAGTTTCACCCTGTATTAGATATCCTTTTAAAAGAAGGCAACATCTAGTACTCACAACCATAACCACACCAAGTAAACCCCCCTTTTTGTTAACGTCGCGCTGTTCTGTATATGAAATTATTCAAACTAGGACATTGCATATTCGCTGAAAATCTATAGCATAATTAAAGACTGCAAACACAGGATTCATCCAAATTTCAAGGGGCTGAGCCTCCAGACCCCCCTCCTTGGCACCACTGCCAAACACTGAATCCAAGTTGACACAGAAAAGTCAATTTAATGAAGAGTTGCTGTCTTTGGAGCCACACACGCTAGCTCTTTGAATCTTTGACTGTCTTGCTTTTGATGTTTGACTGTCAAGACTGTCTTGCTTTTATACTCGTTTTAAAGGTTGCTCCGGTCTTTCACTTTATACTACAGACTTGTAAACAGTCGAAAGTACATAGCAAACTAAAGTTTAATTATCAAGGAAAATAAAAGAGAAAATAGTAAAGGCCAAGGTAGGGTAATGAAGAGTATGTTGTGCAATGGGATTATGCTTGTCTTATCTCGATCTATTATATCTATTCATTTATAACGTTTGTGAGTCCAGCAATTTGACTCCGAAAACACCGTGGCTTAAGGTGGCTGGTGGTACGATAATAAAGATAAAAACGAGATTTGTCTATACTTTTCAATATTAATTTGTCTTTGTTGTCTATACTTGTCATTATATTGTCTATATTTGTTATTGTATTGTCTATATTTATCATTACATTGTCTGTATTGTCGTTCCAATGAACATAGACAACAAATCTAAATTTGTCAACAAGATTGGGGGATGAGAGGCATTCATTGTTATACCTCAAGAGTCCTGCCTAGGCCTTCCCCCTCTTTTAGATTTATCCTTAAGTTTGAAATTTTCAAAAGCTGCATGGTACTCAGATATGCATGATTCACTCTTGCATCAGGCAAAATTCAAGTACAAAATGAGCAATGCGAATAGTGCAACATGAAATAATGGATGAGACTAAAAGCGAAGTCCAAAATGAGCAATGTGAATAGTGCAACATGAAATAATGGATGAGACAAGTCCTAACAAATAGAAAATCAAAAACGTGATAATTGGACATCCATACAGAATCTATCAAATTGAAATAACTCGTAAAATTGTTCTAAATTACTTGGAAGCAAAAATAATTGAAAGTTCAACTTACTTGGGATTACTTGGAATGACGAATTGAAAAATATCAGGAGCAAAGCATCAAAGATAAATAATTTAAGGAGGAAAAGATATGATACTAGGAAAATGGCTCATTGTTATTATACTAGGAAATTGCTTTGTACTTACATTCTTACGATGCGTGTTGTGAGGCTCTGGTACGCAAGGTGAATGTTTATAGTATCCTTTCTGAGTGTATGGTCGAAAAAAATTGTTCACTGTTTGTCTTGTGTTTTTATTCCTTACAGACAAGTGGCCAATTCATCCATTTATGCAAATGTGGCTTTCAATATCTTTAGCAGATTTTTTTAAGCAGCAAATTTTTTCCGAGCGCTTACCACAAATCCCTGAATTGGCCCCCAAGCGGTTTTTAATTTGGAGCATTTTTGAATGGGGGTTAAGCAAGGATGGAGGCTTATAAAAATTATCCTAAAAATGTCATACTTTGAAAAAAAAGAAGAATATAGATACCTGTGTATTGTTAATGTGCTGCATTGCGTTGTTTTATCATTTGTTATTGATTTGTATTGCTCTCTTTTGAAAATTAAAGGCTCGTCTTGAAAGGAGGGAGCAATGTTAAACAATAGTACTTAGTGCACCTCTTGTTTATCTGTAATTCGTTGCCATGCCATTTCCTATTAGTTGCCAAGCCGTGTTGTTAGCGAAGTTGCTGTTAGCCGTTAGATTAAGTTAAGGTGTACCCGCCGAACATTCTTGTCGAACTAGTTTTATGTTTTATTTAGCTTTTTGATGTTCAGTTGCCTGCTCTTTTGATGTTCTTGATAGTTCCGTAGTTTGTCACCTTCCCATCAACATTCCATTTTATTCCATCATCCCATCGCCACTATTGTTGTCACCAGTCCTTTGTTTGTTTGAAGTAATTATTTTGTTATCGTAATTAGGGTGTGTTGTCATGTGATTTTTATGCTGTGGTGAAGTTATGTCGAGTTTTGGATCTGCCGTAATTTGCTTAGGAATCTGTTGCCGTAATTGGTTAAGATATATGTTTAGATAATTCTTACAGACGTGTCGATAAAGATAAATAATACCACAAGAAAATCAATTTATCTTCTTTTACTGGTTTCTACTTGTAAAACATCAGTCGTTTTACATTGGTGACCACGACGTGACAGTAGAAAGTTGTAGGAGATATCTGAGAAGAAGTATCAACGATTTCAAAACTTTCAAATAGTGCCTCTAATCGCTTTGTAAAAATTGTCATTTAGAACTTGTCGTATTCAACATACTATAAAACCTCTTTTGGGCCAAAATTGCATGAATCGTTTGGCGAATTATCTTTGTGTTTGTTGGCGTGCTTCATCTCAAATCGTAGAGCCACCCCTGGAAATATGTCGCTTTTAAGCGTAAGGGATGTCAAGAAAAAGAGCTCGTGAAAAGTAAAGAAGGTACATCAAGGAATGGCAAAGCGTTTAAGTACAAGCTTCTTATATTGGGTAAAGCACCAAATATAACGATGTTGTGAGACAAAAGATCTGCTTTTCTATTTTCTTGAAATTCTGGACCATCGAAGCTGTTAAACTTTATCAACTGTCTTAGATTTTGGAAGTCATAGGTAAATAAACATTACCTTCACCATTTTTGAGTACAGAGAAATGAGCCATTGATGATTTTAATGCAATGCATTATAACACTCTAAATAAACTATGAATGATGCTATCAACGTTTTCACTTAACTTTTGGTGAGGCTCGCGTACTTACCAGTTTTTTTGACGATCCTGTTAAATTAAATGTCTAGACAGTTAATGGAAGACAATAGAAATACAAAAGATCGAGACAGAGTCGAAGAATGCGAAGCTTTGCTAGGATGGAACTAGATATATTACTCGTAATAACCAAAGAGTAAGACTGAGAAATATATCTACAGAAATAACATTTAAGCGTTAACTTCTGTTTACCAAAAAGTCAGGGAACACTCTAAAACCATATCAAAGCTTATTGTACTCCTTTTTCTAAAAGATTGGATGTTTAAAAGGACTTTAACAAGTATGTGTTCCAGTTTTTTGATTGTTTTTTTTCGATTTCAAACTTGCATCAGCGGTTGAGTAACCACTGAGAATTTTGTTTATGATCTCGATAGCTCAAAGAACCAGACAGCTTCCAAGTCTTTACGTTGAAGAACGTAAAGATCAGTCGATCAGAACGTCAGACGTTGGCTGGCTGCCACTGCACTGCATCAATGATATCTGCTATACATCTATATGTTCTAAAAATGACGTCTTATTCAGTGATCTTGTTTTCGCGATCATTTTGTGGTTGTCTATCGGCCATTTGATTTAATGGGTATAATTTTGAAAAAAAACAACAAAGAAACAGAAAAACAGACCTTTTCTTTTTCGTAGAGGTCAACGAGATGTTAATGATCGTTATTCCTGTTGTGCAAACCTTTTATTAGAGTCATGTGGATTTGTTATCACAATGTCTAAAGGGACTTTTTGAAGAGGAATGAACTAAATTTCAAAGTATGTGCAGTGGAATAACATATTTAAAAGCGCTTAATAGCTGGAAAACCCTACAAAGCTCTAAAGAGATATTTGTCCAATCTAGTTTTAATCAAATCTAGTGAATATTTCATCATTTGAAAACAACAAGAGAGAGAAAAAACGGGTAATTGTCTTTCTCTGATGATCACATTCACATATATCGCAGACGATAAGGGGTCTTTGTCGGTGCATATTACCCAAAAAGTATTCAGTCAATGACAATGGCAACTTCTTATTTGAATTCATCAGCCATTTGATATGAAGATACTAAAGTTTTCTTGTCATTATAACTCTACGCGAAAAGAATTTAAATAATCCCATATCCGAAAAATTTTCACGAAAATTTGTCTTAGAAAATGAGAAAGCAAACAACAAAACCAGGCTTACTGAACACACCACATTCTTTGCTAAAGAAGAAAATTTTAGCGATCTTACAAAGGAGACCATTAAAGGTGATATATTTGTAATATCTGAAAAAAATTAATAACATAGGTGAAATAATATGCACTTTTTACGTGATACCCCTAGATCCACCATGCATTTGGTAGGCTTCGCAGGCCGTGTATGTCCTCAATGAGCCCACGTAAACTAATCAAAATAGAAAAATTGTCAATAGCACGTCAAAGGATATGGCATATTTCTGTGATGGTAAACCTAACTTTATTCCCTAGTAGATGTTTTGTTTTTGTAGCTCACAATGCAAACAAATCGCTAACTTGCCATAACTGGTGGTCTAGAGCAGAAATACGTTTTACTTCATATTTTTTTCAAATTGTAACTAATTTCCAGCTACTAAGTCTTTGTGAAAGGGATGTAAATTATAGAGTTTTTCGCATCTTTTAATCGCCACCATCGTCCAAGCCTATGTTCTTGCCCTATTCCAGCAATTATGAAATCTCCATTTTCAGAAAACTGCAGTGCATTGACGAAGCCAGTCTAAAAGAGAAGAAAATATAGCAACAGGAACTTGACATAATTTCAATTATTTTAAAAACATGTTAACATTCAATACTACCTCCCCATTCCTCAATGTAAAATTTATGGATTTAACAGAAATCAGTGCATCATAATTATAGTCAGCGCCTAGTTCTAGCCTGTTTTTTAAATTAGGATTTTCTGGTAGGAACAACAGTAACAAATTTATGCTTTCCGTAGCACTTATGCCACAACCGTTGTAAAGAAACTCCAGTAAGGCTTGTACTCCCTAAGTATTTGGGTCTAAAATCAGCATTAGTTTCGAAACCCTTTGACGTGTGCCTATCTTGTGTGTGATTCAAGACATCAGTGTGAAATAATACACAGAAGAAAGACAAAACAGCAAATTACTAAACGTTCAAAATTTACGATTAACAGTAAGCAAGCATATTTTTTGCTATTAGAACAAGCAATCTACAAAAAATGTTAGCAAATATCATCATAACTGTGAAAATACTGTAAAGAAGATCCCTACCCACAGTCTAACCCCTTACATGCAGTAGAGGGATTTATCTTTTCTTTCTTATCAGATAACCTTTTCCCTCCTTATTTCTTATAAACAAGCACTGGAATGTACAGCTATACGTCAAGCAAGAAAAGTGTGTTCTCGATGCGGATGCGAAGTTCCAGTTCAATATATCGTTGTATTACGAGTAAGAGCTACAGGCACCTTACAGGTTCTTGGAAATCATCCTAACCGGTAAGTTTTTATTTCGAAATGGAGGAGTAAGTTCATGTTCAATACAGTATACTCGCGTTAAGTTGGACCCCGGATAAGTAAGACGCCGGCTAAGTAGTACACCTTTGCTTGGTCCCTTGCGCCTCCCACTTAACGAGAGTATACTGTAACTATAAGTAAACGAGTCATGCTTTGTTCTTATTTTAAAGGCGCATATGATCATCTCAAGGTCAATAACTTTTATTCAATTTATTCTCTGAGATACAAACTTGTTTAAAATAAGCAATAATTGAATGTTGGGCGTTTTTGTAGCTCAAATTTGCCAACACGCAGACTACAAACGAGAAAGATCCTTGGTAAACATGAAAACTTTCATTAAAATACCTGCTACATTAGCAACCGTACATATTTACGGGCAAGAATGTGTATAATTAAAGAAAAACGGCATGTAGTTTCTTAAATTCTTAGGGAATATTGAGTTGGTTTTCCGTGCTGAAAATATCCCCCAGAAGAGAAAATACATGTTCCTGATCTTTGTAGTGAAGTGCTGTTGCATGGATTTCATATAAAAAGGATACCAATGAAAATGTTTGTTAGCACTTCATCGTCTGCGACGAACGTGAAATTAAGTAAAGTTCTAGCAATAATAACATACCACTGGTATTGCAAATAATTGTTGAAGAGAGCGAAATCCCTGTTCACATTTCCACACACGAATACACGAATCACAAGATCCTGCTAGGAACGAATTCAATCGTTAAATATGCAACTAGAACGAAGATTAAAACCATTTATCTAGGAACAAAAAGGCTATAATCTAAAATAAATTTAATACTAAAATATAACGAACACAAAAGAAGGGACATAACATAGTGATCAATGAACATAAAAGTTGTCAAAAGTGGAATTTTTCCAAGTTTTACATTACAATATTCACAAAACATTTTAGCTGATGAAAATTGTGTTACATTAGTGTTCAGTATCAAAATAGTATAATAGTGTTAAAATATTGTGCATGAAGTAGCCTTTAGTTGATGGTAAGTTACATAGAAGGGGCAAAAACACACCTAAAAATGAACGCTTTTTGATCGCTCTTGAAAGTGAAGGTTTCTGAAGACAATTGGATTTCGTAATGGAAACAAAAACTCGTCAGAGGTGTTAAATCATGATCTCATAACAACAAGGGTCAACTGAAGCAGAACAAAGGAATGGCAAAGGGCAGATGGGGAATCTTTAGAAAGCAGACCATCGCTTTTACAGTCTTTAGGTCTTCATTCAGTCTAGCTGTACTGAAGAGCCTTGATATTTTGCGAACCCGTTCTACAGCCGGCTTTTTGAGGTGTCAGTGGTTTTTTTACTTCACACATCGTTTTTCTATCGTTTTTGCAAAGTGTATAGAGCCTTTATGGACCTGCGGTTGATGACAAATGGCTAAAAATCTGTGTAATGGAAACATAGCACGAATCCATTGGTAAAAAAACAAACAAACAGAGTAACAACGTATAAATGTTGGAAAACCAACAATTCTATGACACGGTTGTATTACCTGAAGCTACAAGATCGGAATTTTTCAATGCTGCAACTGACGTTATCCATGCTTCATTGCAAGGTTTATCTTGTGACGTAGCAGATTTTTTGATCTGATGAGCATTTCTTACCGTGCAAACGGGCTTTTTCTTGTGCAAATTCCATACAGAGATCGACCTTGTAAAAAGAATTTTTTAATGCGGAAAAGATCTCAGCAGTAAAGAAATAAACAAAAACAAAAGACACACAATTTCGGCAAAAATCTAGTGTGTCGTTCTCTAAAGATCCTCATAGAAAAACATCTAAATTGAAATAGATGCAACTTTGAGCCTTGTCACCATCTCACGTGGAAACGAAAATCAATGCAAGAACCGACATCAGATAAGTTGCGACATAAACTTTAAACGACTATGAATTTCACGCTGGAACACTTTGGAACCTGCTTATAACAGTTTTTATTAGAAATAGTGCCTGATGAAAGCGGACAACAATAGGTCTTATATTTCGGGCGCCGGTTCAAGATGAAAACCAAATAGGTTTTCAATGACAAGGGAGGAAACAAGCAGGCTCATAGTTTAGCAAAAAATATGGACGAAGTATTAGAGAGAAAGAAAATATCGAAATACAAACCCATTATCAGCTCCTGTGAGGTAATACTCTTCGTTAATCATTGCCACACAGTCGATGCTTGGTGCGCTGAAAGACAATGCAAAGAAAGATTTCAATGAAAAGCGAGAAGAAGGCTCCATTTTCATGTCTATACGATTCTCTAATATGAGTGTGATTCTTGGAGTATATATGGGAGAAATAGAGGAGATACTAGAAGATGTTCATATCGTTGGCCGACAGAAATCAATTTCGACTGCAACAGTTATGAAGAGATGGATGGAATTTTTGGGAGTTTAGAAAGGTCTTGAAAATTTAGGATCGACGGGGAGAGATGACACAGTAAAGAGTGTCATAAATGCTAAATTTACTTGTTTGGTTGCAAAAATGACAGCAAAATCAAGCTGCTCAAAAAACAACGATAGAATGTCGGAAAAAAAGATGTATGCTTGTAACTTTCTAGTCGATATCTAATTAAATCAGGACAATAGTTAAAATCAGAATTACCTAGCTAATTAGCTTGAAGAAATTTGAGAATATTTTCGCAAATCCAACAACTAATGATATATATTTGTATTTCTCTAGCATACTTTATGCCAAACTACAGCAATGTATATCAACAACCTAATTATTTGTAGAACTTTTCGTTCCGAGCCACTGCAATGAAAAGACGCCTGACTGAAAAGCGATATGTTAAACTACCGACTACAAATATAATTAATTTATGGCGGTACAGAACTTTAAATTGGCTTGAAAAATTTCACAACATAACACTTATTTGAAACTCAACTGCCCCTGAAAGAGAACAGCCCCCTCGATCTTGTAGATCTAAAAAGACAGTAAAAACTAGTGACTCTGTCATCGCACAACACCTTTTAGACAACCCAGATTGTGCAAATTCTATAATGACGACAGGTTTCGAATAATTGGCAGAGCCCGGTCGTCTTTCCATCTAGCAGTTTTAGATCGATCTGCATATAAATGAAAAAAACCACCATTGTGTAGACAGAAGGAGTTCGTTTTCTCTCTTAGACTTCATTGATAATATTTTTTTTAGGCACGCGGCACTGATTGGACAACAATGCTGGCCATGTGCTCGCGTTTCCCTGATTAGCCCATTTCGATCCACAACTGGGTGTATATTGTCCATCTTGTTCTTTCAGATCCTTATTTTGACGTTTTATACTCTTAGGAGTCTCAGACGAAAAAGCTATAAGTAGTGTGGGGTGAAAAGTTTGCTTTTTTCAAAGCCATTTTTCAAAACAATAAACAGCAAAACTATTTATCTAAAGGAGTAAGACAGAAAAATATATCCGACGTAGAAAAATGTAACCTTTCTTTGTTTATAACGTCTCTTAGCACCACGTCAAATGACCGAATTAAAACGAGACAACAGACAGGACAAAATCCAGTCAACTAAATTCTTTTCAACTGATAAACTGGCCAGGATATAAATACCAGTGAAGGATGATGTGCAAAACACCTCGCTTTAGTTTCGCTATATTATCTTTATACGCACAATCTAGAAATTCTAAGATTTGAGGAAAACATTAGATGACATCATTGGGAGCACGAAAGGCATGATTACCCATTGGCCTCCAAGGTTTTGCGCAACCGGCATGCTTTGCGAGTATATTTTCAAAATCGGTTTTATATCGTACTGCATGAAAATACCAAACACGGTCCATTTCCCTTCGAACAAAAAACAGCGACTGCAAAGAATGCCGGTCGCGCAAGAGCTTTTAACAAACATCGATGCAGAAATGTATACCGAAGATGGTGTTTGACTCTTCGTTGGGAGAACCCACTTTAATGAAAAGATATGGAAGCCACTGCTAAGATAGACATTCTTAAAGGAGGTTTAACAGAAATTTGTTTGTCTTGCATAGCATAAAAACATTGCTATTTACTTATTAAAGACTCATTGCTAACAATGGGCCTTTGCGAGCGTGGCGACGATCCAAATAATGGCCTATTCGATTTCTACGGATTAAAAAAAATTGATTTCGGACTGTCTAAAAATGCACAATGGCTCACTGTCAGCAATGGGTCTTTAAGTCAGAAGATGATCAATCATCAATAAAGAAGAATGAGACATATATTGATTTACTTAGGTTGCTTTCTACAAATTTACCTGGCGACAGCCTTATTTCCAAATTCCTAGCTGGACCAGTAATTTAACGAAAAAAGATAGCCGCCTGTATATTGCAGCGTGAATTAGTAAATGCAAACAAGGGAAATGAAAAGACTTAAAATTGATCCCAGTGGAACCCCACTAAAATTTTGCTCAACTGTCATATTTTGCAATTCTGTCCGGTAAGTTGTATGCAATAAGTTAAAAACTGTGAATCAATGAAAAATTACTCATCATACGATCGACATACGATCAATGCTCCTTCCAATGGCTAGATTTGCTCGATCAGCCAAGCAAAGTTTTTGATTGCAGGGAGGTGGAGCTAAGTTATCTGAGTTATATTGACCAATACGATAAGATGATAACATTGTTCGTGTATGGCTGGATGGGCACATATCTTTGAAAAAGGTCTGGCCAGTTCACAAAAATGAGGTCAATGCAGGACTTAAGACACGCCCATGAAAAAATAAGGCTGTTCGTAGATCCATTGCTGCAAACCTAGTTCAGACGTAAATGGTTCCAAAACTTGACAACTTGACCTTTGTCATTTCACGCTCGTTCTCCCGCCAATGTGGAAAACAGCAGTTGAAGTCATGAGGTTTGTGAATATGATTAAAAATAGACGATATAATTAGAAAGTGATAAATTTATCTGATGTTTGGCTTGACTTCTATAGATCAATGAAAAAATTTTCTTCGCTTCAACGGAAATCTCAAAACAATACGATAGAAATGTCACAGGGTCAGTTTTTCTTTGCAGTGATGTGTTCCTTTATATTTAGACCAGATCTCGATGGATGTTGGCTTTTGAAAAAATGTATCCATGAAAAACTAACTAAGTTTTATCCGCATACCAGTAAAGGTGTGTCCCAACTGTACTAAATCGGACGTAGTTATATACAGGACTATGGGCTTCAATCAATGGGACTTTGATAAAATCATGATCACATGTGCTGTTCAGACTCCAAAGCCAGAAGATGAATAGAGTAGTTCTAGGCCCCGGGTTAATCAATGTATCACCACACAGTAGAATTTGAGCTGAACGCAATCCATTTAAGATTTATCAAGGATGAAGAAAAACTAGTACTAGATAGCCCAGGAAATCGTAAAATTTCTGCTGAAAAATTTAGATAAAACTCCCCGAGCATGCAAGAAAATATGAGCGAAGAGAAGCAAGAAACTAGGCTGCAGTTGGAAAATTTAACCCCAAATAAGGGTTTCATTGGAACAATCGAGACAAACATTTGTTTTGTTTTGTTTGGTTGTGACAAAACGGCTGCGGTCTAGGGTTAAACCGGTCTGGCCGCTTTAAGAAAAAATCATAAACACGGAGGAATTTTCACTGATGTTGAGGGGTGAACACACCAAGAATTCTTACATCATCTTGATTGTAAACCCCATCATTTACTAGCTGTTAAGATTGTTAAATAGTTAACTGCTTCTGTACTGATGGAAAAAAAGGCTATCTATAGTGATGGAACGAAGGGTTTACAAAGATCAGTGATGAAACCAGGAGAGAAAAAATACTTACTTATGTGCCCTGAATACAAGCTGAGATTCTTCTGGGATTTTCCACAATCGTACTGTTCTATCTCTGCCACCACATGTTACTGCTCGGTCTTTAGCCAAACTATCAATCCCAGTGATCGCATCTTCATGACCAAAACTATGAAAGTATTATTCAAAACTCACACATGTCTTTACAAAAGATACAGAATTTACTTTGTGCTATAGTTCTTTAGACCTTTATAAAAGAGGCAAGGAAGAACAAAAGATAAGGCACTCACTTCAAAATTTGCCAAAAGATATAAAATACGCAAAACACATTGAGTTTTTTTATACATGACTTCTTTCATTTGTCTATTTTCACTTTACAAAATCATTTACCAGCAAATTGAAGTAATTTTCGTCGATATTTTTCCTACACACTTACTCCACGCATTTTTAAAATTGAAATTTTGATCAACTTACAGGGTCTCGATATAGGCCATTTCGTCTAAGCTCCAAACCTTAACAGACCTATCCATAGATGCACTGAATAACTGATGAGTTCCTTTACGAAACGCTAACCCCTAAAGAAAGTAACATGCAATTTTATTTATGCTACAAATAGATAGAAATCAATACCAAAGCGTAAGAAAGTTGCTTAAAAATTATAGCAGCATTATGGCATCAATGTCGATCGTGGGCACAAAAGCAAACAGGATTTTCATTGTCAGTGGGGTCAAATAAAAAAAAACCTCTCGTAATTCTCACAAGACATGATTTTATTTTTGGAAAAAGACACCTACTTAAATATGAAAGTATCACTAAGAGTGAATGGACAAAGTAATAATTTTGCATAGTGTCTCATTTAACATAGTGTTCCATTTAACATAGTGTCCCATTTTGCATAGGTGTTAGGATGGCTCGTGATTACAGTCACGGACTACAGATAATCGATGTCAAAGGTTCGATTCCCTGACATGGCCAAACATTCGACCAGAGTGAGGGGAGTCACCAGCTCTTTGCAACTCGAAGCATTGAGATTACGAGGTGTGGTCATATTTCGGGGTAGGTCCAGGACACTGCTTGATTTTGGTATCCTAATAACTACCTTCCGCTGGTATACGTAGAAACAATAAAGTGGCATAAGCGGCCATTGTTGAAAGCCTGCCCTCTGGCTGCAGCGAATCACGTTGCTAAAAAATCTTGGATTGGGTATGAAAATACGGGGACATTATAGTCCAACCAGGATATAACATGGAGAAACAAAAAAAAATTTATTGCAGGTTAAATGTAAAGCATTTTGATGAAGATACGCGGGTTTCACAAACCACGACTTAAAAGCTGTTGAAATCAAATGGTCATGCGACCGAAAACCATTCTTACTTCTCACATCGCAGTTTAGTTGAAATATTCCTGCCGAACAGTTTGCAAATTTGATCGAACCATAGCTAATAATAAGGAGTTGGAGTTTACATCGAATTTGCACCTACAGAGTGCTTTAGGCAACAACTCCAGCGATTATCAGGTAACGTATTGTTCTATACCACCAAAGCGTGTCAGTAAACAGAAATTGACATCTCTGCAGAGTTGTACCATTAAGCTCTCGTAGCCCTGTTCAGTAGGGCCTTGGGACTTAAAAATTTGTTATCAGGGGCTGATATCTGTGTTAGGCGAAGATGTTGGGAAGCACTAGGTAGCTGTGATACATCAATGATATGAATGGCCTAATACGTAACTCATTTTATCTGCATGATTTTCAGATGTAGCCACAAGATTCGAGTTAATACTAATACTCAAAGTGTTGTATGGCCAGAGAATAAAAAGTTGTAAGAAATTATGGTTACCCAATAAATGCTTTCCACAAACAAAATCTGCTATATTGCTTTTTCCGACCGTTGAGCAATTTTTTGAGCAAAGTAAAATTAGGTTTGCTAAGAACCTTTCATTTATAGCTCAAAACAATTCCTCAATTCTTTTGGCCATGTAATGCGATACAATTTGAAGTTTTCAGATATACGGTGCCTTATTCTAAGGGAGGGTTGTAACAAAGGGTGTCATATGAGAAAGCCATCATAGATGGGGGGTTTAAACTATGCCTAATTTTGGACCCGGACGTGCCACTTTGGTTAAAACATGATTCTGCAAACATGATTAAAACTATGCCAATAATGCTGCAGAACAAATAAAACTTTTAAAGCACATAAAAAATCCTTAACCAAATTATGCATGTACTTTGCTCCAAAATCTCAATAATACACATATTTCATACTTTTATTTCTAACTGGACATTCATTTTGTTAATGCTAAATCCCCCTCCTAATAATTTTGCAATATTTTCTCAAAATGGTACCCATAATTCTGCATGTTTCTTTAAATGGTACCCATAGTTCCGCACAAATTTCAAAAACTGATACCGATAACTCCGCAGTTTTCAGAAAAAAGGTACCCCTAAATAATGGCACGTCCCCGTACCTTCAAACATGTTAAGGTACCCCCCAGGTACCCCCCCTCCCATCAAAGTTTCTATCTAGATAGTAATTAACGGACTGTAAATTGTATTCAGATAACACTGCACATAAGTGGCATAAAACTTGATGGTCTTACTGGCGTAGACTCATTACGAATGTTCGTATATTTTTCGAAATGCTGTAGATTTCTGCAAAATGTCGTAATTTTTACAAAGTGTCATAAGTTTTGCAATATGCAGTGTGCAAAATGTTGCTTACGGTTATTGAGTTCTTGTGTCCCGTAAATGTTCGGATGAATGTAAGGTCATGGGCATTCCATATATGAATAACGTGTTCTTTTCCACCACTTGCCTAACAAACAGAAAGGAAATTTCACTGCGAATGAAAATAGTTCAATGAAAAGGAAATAGCTTATAAGAAATGCAACATAAGAGTTTGGTCGTAAAATATTTTATTTAAATAAGAGACATAAGAGAGGCATAAAAGACAAAACTTTACTGAAATAAGTATGAAAACCACGCACCAAATATTTCCCATCACTTGATAATGCTAAGCATAGAAGATGATTCTTTTGTGATTTTGATCCTTTTTTCTTTGGAGTGCTTGAATTCTGAGGGCAATCTACTTGCAGTTCTCTCTTCCAAGTTCGTATGGACCCTGTCAAAAACTTATATCTCAGAACTGAATCATAGACTCCTGGGGTTGTATCATATTGTAATACAGTATCTTTTGTTATACAGGATCTTGTGACAATATTCCTATATTTATTCTGTCTTATGTTTTTTATATATGACATCTACAGTAATTGCTTATGAAACATATTGCTTAATTTTTTTAAAAATGACAAAAACAGCCTTTGAAATTACAAAGCTAATGAGACATGGATACTCTAAACGCATCTGCATTTTACATAGAACCAAAATTACTAATTAGTATAAATTCAACCCTTGCCAATAGCAAACACAGACTTCTATGATTGAAGAACTTTAAATCAAAGTATATAGAATAAAATCAAATTGAAAGAATTATCTTCGAACTTTGACAATAAATAACATCAGAGTTTGACACACAGGCCAGCCTTTTCTAATAACACCTGCATACATGCCATGCCTACCACTTACATTTGATTATGTAGCCATCTTTGGAACCAGAAAATATATAGTTGTCATCACTAGAAACAGCAACACATGTCACAGACAGCCTATGACCTTTGAAACACTTTTTGCTTGCATCATCGTACCCTGAAAACTGCAAAATCTGTACATCAAAATTGAGCAAATGGCATGAAAACTACCAGCTATTCAAATATTAAATTTATTTTTACTGGAGCAATTATCAAATATCCAAGAAAATTCAGTAAACAATAGTGTTGATTGCAAACAAAGATGCTTAGCCATGAATCAAGAGCATGTGTCACAATAAAAAGCCCATTAACAAAATATGAGATCAACTGCCTTTAATAATAAAACTGCAACTAATGCCATGTGCAGTAAGCATTGCTAATGAAAATCATTTCAACACAGAAAACATTCATACCGCTACCAATTAATTTTCAAACATTTTCACAATGACATGCTATCTATAGGAATATATTACTACTTTTTACAGTTGCCTTACTTTCAGAAATACACAAATATATCACAAAAAGCCAATATTTTTTAAATTTATTCAGATGTTCATGAAAAACCTCACCTTTTCTGCAAGTTGTTTTTGAAGGATGCCCTTCTCACTGAGCTAAAATAAATAATTTTATATACAAACTCTCATTTTCACTTGCAAATCATGCTAGAAGGATCATTTTGGAGGAAAGTAAAGAAGATTAAGAATGTGATATATAGAAAACAACATTGAAGGCTAAGAATGAGAAGATACTACAATATAATATTGATTTATAGTATCTATAACTTTACATCCACAGTTACTTCACTACTTTGAAGTTTTGAAAAGTAAAAAATTCAATAAGGTATTTTGATATATATCTGTGCAGTACAGTAGGGAAACCAATCAAGGAGGTGCCAGCAATGAAAAAGTTCAGATGGAGAAGATTTTGCACTCTTGAATAATATAACATTTTTCCCTGTAGCATTGTTGATTGTTACGGAAATTTAAATAGGTATTATTAATGGTAATTTTTATACTGAATTCTAATTTTGACTCTTTATAACTTTTTGTCAAGTTCCCAAATAGTTTGTAAGCTAATTTCTTTTAAAGATTGATTGACTGACTAGTTAGTTCACTGTAATGATTAATTGGAATGGTTGATCACAACAATACATTTTAATTGAACAAGATAGGCAAACTCACAACATCTTCCTGCAAGCGATGTGCAATTGCATCTCTGTCAACCTGATCATCAAGTGCTTTTTGGCTCTCTTTACATAAAACAAAAATCATGGTTTTAGATAAACTGAAGACATGTTTTAGATAGATTGCTAGAATTTGAATTCTGATAAGTAGTTCTGTTCACTGTTTTTATCCCTGTTTTTTCCTGTTGCATTGTTAACTTTTAAGCACTCGAAGGTAACAATGGAAATCGTGGCAATCTGATTAATCATTAAACAATATACAACCTAATTAATAAACAAATGAGACCATTTTTAAACAGATTTTCATCAACTTTTGATTTCAATCATTGTCTTGTTGGGCAGTGACATTGTAGTGTTCTAAGGGAAAGAAGGGCAGGCTGGCATTTGAAGAATGATTCCTAAAACCTACTAATTTCTTTGCAACTGTTGTTTTTACTGAGATCTGCTGCAGGCATCTTGAAAAGGGGGAAACTGTTGGCTTATTAAAATTTTTTATAACATTTTAAAAAAATCTTTACCCAAAAATTAGGAAATTGAAAAAGACATCAGTCTCAGTTTCACTTACATCTCCTTGATAACTAAAAAGACCATTTTTAAGCTAAGGGCATCTTTATGCAAAGGGATTTTGGCACAACTTGCCCCTTCTATCAGAGGTGAAAAAAGATGCTTGCCCTCCATTTCAGTGTCCCTGGTGTTCAGGCTGTTCGGGCATATCAATGAAAATGGACAAAAATTGGAATTGATCTCTTAATTTTAAGTAAATACCCACAGGGAAAGTGTACAGGTCCTCCTCCCTAGGATTGTGTCGCCCAACACATATATCCTTGGAAGGTTGTCAATCATTATTCTCACCTATCAATATGGAAAAAAATTTGTGGTGTTTCTATAAGGGCCTTGCTCTAGCACACATTTGGTATTTACAGTTATGCAGCACGCTGTCACACCGTGTTGTATGCATTTTCCCTCTCCCATTCCCTGCACCCTTGTACTTGCTTTTCCTTCAGCCTATATCCCATTATATACTTCCTTCTGCCTCATCTTGCCTCACCTCTTCTCATACATTTTATCGCGATTTGGTTATGTGACAGGTGTATCAGTCTGACTGCCAGGGTAAAAAGCTAAGGCAGTTTTTCCTAAAACACCAACCACAGGTTGTGTCATTGCTTAAGTAAGATAAGGGCTGATGCACCAAGAGCCCAAAATCATTCTGAGGTTCGGAATTTACTTTATTGTAATCTAGGGGTCACATTAAGGACTATTGTTTATATTAAATGTTCTGTGTCCTGTAGTAGAGAGAACCAGGCATCCTTAATCTGAGTAGTACAGCAAGTATCTTGTTCCAACTGAAGAGCATTTTCAAATTTTTAATCTCTCATGTCTCACAGTTTTCTAAACAACATGTCTGTTTCTTTGAGGAAGATAGGGATACAACTGAAATATATTACCCTCTCTCTCCAATTTTGCAATGTAGTCTTTGGCAAGCCTAAGCCTTTTTTCTTGTGCAGTTTCTTCTATTGAGGAATCACTTTCCAGATCATCATTTCCTTGCTCACTCTCACTTAAAGCAAAAAAATAATTTATATAATGATGGCTTTAAAAAAATTCATATTGCCAAAAACTGATGGTTTTCAAACGGTATATTTGAAATCATTCTTTAATAGAAAAATGAAAACAAAAATGACAGAAATACAAAAGTGAAAGAAGCAAGGTTCTGTGAAAGTGACAAAAGGTGCAAAGCTTTAAAAAATGATTACCTAGCAATATCTGAATCACTGCCAATTTCATCATCTTTCTCATTTTTGGCAGGTGTGGGTTTTCTTTTCTTCAACTAAATATGGAAAAAAGTTAATTACAATATGGTGGCTTAAAGCCTTATTAGTGTTATTAGTCTTACAACAGCCCTTGCTGACATCTCTGTTATTAGGATGGCGTTTCTAATAATACGAATCACAATTTCTTTTCTTTTTACTCTGTGAATGTGATTAATTTGTCATAGAAAACAGGGATAAAAGCCATTGCATTTTACTTGCACATTATTAGTCTCCTCGTTCTAATAGTGCATTCCGGGATATCGACTGATTACTTCGTAAAGCAAAATCGAAAACAAACTGACTACCATAATTCAAAATGATTCTATGCATTGGTATACATTCTCAAGTTTTTTCTGTAATTTCAACTGGTAAAAGTCTAATGCATGAGCAACTTTTATGCTTATAAACAATGTAAGGTCTACCCAAAGACTTCTCAAATAAAAATTGTTACAGTGTTAACAAGGCTTTTCCATTGATTGACAGGGAAGAAATAAAAAAATAATTATTTTCATTGTCTGGGCCTTGTGATAGGAAATTTTCAGGAGGCAAAATCATCAAGTCTTTTTTAAAAGTATTGTTTAGAGCTCTATTATATCCAGGATGATCTGTTCTTACCACTGCTATACCTATGCCTAAGGTCTACATTAATTACCTTTTTTGACAAGAAAACAGACTCAACATATCAGGGGTTTGAAAGCCTATATTCACTAACAAAAAAGATGAGTGAGGGGGGGGGGCGGAGCCCTACATGCCCCCCATAATTTCTGCCACTGCCTGCTGCCACTGCTTGGCTGGACTATCAACAGTTTATTTCTGGTGCCATATGACCCTGGAACATGTCAAGATATTTATGCAGTTTGTATGGCTGCTCTTTCCATGAAAAGCCAGTCTGGAATTTACGGCACTTTTCAGTGAGATTTTTGGTGTGCAAGAACAAAAACTAATGTGTGCAGTGTGCATTAGTCAGCAAGTCTGCACTTGAAGTGTGCACATTCTTAAGCTGTTGGTTAGTATTTTTTGTGATAATTTTATTGTTTTCTAACAATACCAATGTCTGCAGAACAAAGACAACTGGTGTAAACTTGGTAGACTCAGATTTTAGGCCACCAATGATTGGCAGACTTTAGTCAAGTCAATCATTTGTAGCTACTTGTGCTTGCTTAATTTCCGTACTCCTTTATCAGAATTGTTTTTCCTCAAATCTGATTGATAGGTTTTCAAATTTTCACAGGATTTCCTTCACTCAATTATCATGTACTTGAAAGACCACAAAGTCTAGAATCCAAATTAGCTACCATAAGCTACCATGGCTGACAGCACAAATTTTTTTGCAACTATGGCATTCTACAGATGGGTCTATGACATTCTACTGGAGAATGGGTCTGGAAAATCTACAGCATCAATTGGGAACCATGGATCCTAGGCAAACATTCTACCATAATCATGCTCAATAGTTGTTGGAACAATATGTGCAAATAGGCTACTTGGTGCAAAATCTGTTCTAAAGAGCAAGAAAGAGCTGGAAAAACAAAATCAGGGAGCATATGATTCCTGTGTGGATGCCAACTCAAACATAGTCCTAGTTTGTTAGTTGGACAATGGAGTGGTGACCCTGATCTTATCATTCATAAGAAATGAGCTAGGAGATCCTGTGAAGCGATGGAGTGGGAAAAGAAAAGAAAAAATTGATGTCCCTTGCCCAAAAAGTGTTGTCCAGTATAACCAACATATGGGAGGAGTTGACCTTTGTGATATACTTTTAGCATTATACAGGATCATGCGAGTTGTACATGCACATTGGGAAGTGTCTCATTGCTATATGCATTGTGAATGCTTGGCTGCTGTATCACAGACACTGTGATCAAAAGAAAAAAAAGGATGTATTGACACTGCTTCAATTTTATTCAAAGATTGCCCACTCTTTGTTCAGATTGTTCAAGGTTTGAACACTCAGAGCAAAAGAGGACAGTCATCAACAGCAAGTTCTAGCCCTCCAGTGCCAAGGAAGAAAGTTAGGGCATACACTGGAGTCACAAAAGTATGAAAACGGTGCTAAAAATGGCAGCTTACAGAAGCCAAGGACCCAAGCCAACAGGTTTTTAGAACAGAAGTTCAGCACTAAGAGGTTTTTGTAATGAACATTTTTGCCATGAAATTTTTTGGGTAATTCTAATGGCTTTTGAATCAAAATAAATTTGAAAGATCACCTTACTGTTTTGCAGTTGAAAAGTCAAGGAAACATTGGACCAGTGTTTCAGAAAATTTCTGGAAAATATTTTTGAAGAATTCATAAAATAATGCCTCAAAGTGCAGACAAAACTTAATAAGCAAAATATAATTAAATTAAACTTGAAACTTAATACATGCACCTTTGTTTTGACTTTAAAATATTACCGAGAAGACCATTTTGGCTGAGATATCAGGACTTTGGTTATTTAAAGTGATATCAGTGATATTAGTGATCAAAATCGTTGGCTTGCTAAATAACATTAACGGTTTGGGTCGAGATGATTCTTTTCATTAATTTGAAAAGCATAATAAACATTGAAGGTTTTGCTTTAAGTTTTTTATTGTCATGTGCTTAGATAACAAGCAAATCAGAATTAAAGATAAACAAGTCATTAACATCAAATGTAGAGCAGCTCACCTTGTGTCAGTATTGAAATTTTAAAATTAAAATGCTAACATAAATTTCTCAGTTACAATTTTTTATGAAAAAGAAGTTTTAAGCAGTTTGCTACAAATTCTAATATTTTTCGTTCACGCTTCATCAATAAAGTGACACTTTGTGGTCATCTTTCATGAATACTCAGAGAATCTTTAACAGAATTGTTTTGAACCAATGCTTCAAAGTTTTGCTGAATTTTCACCCTCAAAACAACAAACAAATCCTTAAATTTTCTTTTAACTGAAAGTCAAAGGAATGGCGAATGCATTTTCCCACCATAATCTATTGTTTCCAAGCCCCTTCACCTCATAATTCTGATTTCGAAATTGGTTGTCTTAGGCCCATGGTCACTATGAGCTGCCATTTTGACCTACCGTTTCCATACTTTTGCGACCCCAGTGTACACAGCAGCAACACCTACATCTCAAAGTGATGTAAGGCATAATTTGACAGGTCACTTTCTGGTGTTTGGTGAAAAGCAGCAAAGGTGAAGACAAAAATCATATCATTGAAATTTTTCAATATTTTAATTATTTTCATGAAGTAATGAGTTAAATGCAATCAATTGAACACAGTATGAAAAGGGGCAGGGATTGAAGAACACAACTTTTTGAATAGCATTGATTGTCTTCTAAGTTGTGACTTTATGTATAGCAAAGCATGATATGCCTTCAGAATAAACAAGCTAACTTTGAGGTGATCCTTGAAGAAAAATTAACCTATAGGTCTCAGTAACTTTTACAACTGATATCACCATTCTTCAAAAGTGGTGTAACATTTAAAAAAGGGGCGGCAGACTTGCTTCAACTAGGCAGGGACCAACTGCCCTCAGTAATTATTCAAAAAACAGGTAATTTTTCCAAATTTACCAAACCAATTACTTTTCAACTTTAAAGTCTCATCATTTAAGGTTGTTTAAACAAGAATTTCTTAGCCAGTCTTTAGACAGGGGGCTAGTTCTGAATATTAGACGTAAATCCTCTGAAATTTCAAAGGGTTTTCATAAGAAGGCCAGTCGAGTCATTTAAAAACGTAGGCCAAAATGGTTGAGTTGATAACATCAGTATCTTCTTACCCCTGCTCCTGTACTCTTTGACTTTCTCTTGAGGAAGAAACCTGGCATTACTTCAATTTTAAAAAACACAAGACTTGTTTATGTGGAAAACTTAAACATTAATGTCATGCGATCCTCTTCAACCATCAAATTTTATTCCATCTCTACCCACATGGGATACCTTTCTGATTTTGCTGCTGGTACTCAACGCGAGGCTCTGAATTTGAAAACGAGGAAGACTTGTAATCATAAACATGGCGGTATGGCGGTCAACTTTAGGGAAAACAGGGACGAGCCAGAATTCGAAGCTTTATCAGCCAAAATAGACTCAAATCTAAAGAATATATTCAAACACCAGAAGTTCAAAAGTGCCTTGCAAGAGGATGCAGTGAAGACGGTGGCTTCTGGTATTATAATTTTCCTATAGAATTATAAAAAAAGTTTAAATTTTTTTCCGGATACCCTCTAGGTATCTTAATTCAAGTAATACAGCTGGGTGCTATTATTTTACTGTCCTCGTGTGACCGTAAACTTTCGGAAAAAATTTCTTGTGAAAATAGCTTCGGAATTTGTGGTTCAAAAACCTCGTTTAAGACACATTGATTAAAAACAAAATTTCAGATTTCATCAGGAACCTTTTTGCCATACTCATAATCAGGGACATGGAGGGCCCTGGGGCGAAATCGAAAGATGCAGCCCCCTGCAAGCGGAGCGTGCAGAAAATTCCAGAGACCGCGCTTTAGAATGACTATCTTAAAATGCGCTTTAGAATGAATCTTAAAATGTATTTTAGAATTTTTCTTGCAGTCTTTTCTTGCAATCGTTTTAAACATTTTATTTTCTTAGGCATTCTTTTGCAACGTTTGATTGATTCTATTCTATAGAATCAATGCTAGAATGGAATTCATTTTGTTCAAAATATAGGTTACTTTTTGCAAAAAAGCTGACCCCCTTGACATTCCCTGTTGTGCTAAAATAGTTTTGATCTTTTCATTATGATAAGGTAATTTCCTGCATGCATTTTATTTCCTTCAAAACTGTCCAACTTCTTGAAAACTGTATAAAACATTCAAATTAATTATCTTTGATTGAAAGTTTTCTGTGAGAAAGTTTTTTAATCATGAATTTCTTGTGACCAAAGTCACATGGTCATGGGGAACATAACATCCTGGAAAAAAGCATTGAGAATAATACCATACAAAATTCATAGTGAAAAGGATTGAAAACCTACCTGGTTTAAAAATATCAGAGATTGCATCTTAGCAACTTAGATCAAAGCAACTTAGAATTGAATTTAAAAGGCTGAAAAATTCTAGTTGCTGTTTTGAATTTGCAATATATTTGGTTTTTTTTACTGAATGCAAAAACTTTTTGTGACTAACATGCCTGCCATTATTGAATCTGGGGAGGATCTGTGTTGTTTCTATGCTAGAGCATTACCAGTAGACATGGTCTGGATTTCATGGCAGTTTTTGACAAGGTCTCCAGAGTGCACAAGCAATTACCTTGGAGTGCAAGAGTACACTTGTATTGTAAGAAGTGTGGAAATGCTTAAAATTTCAGTAGATTTACATGCAAAAAGGAAGATGGGAGATATCTCAGCAGAATTATGATGTGCAGGAAACGCATTTCCAGCGCACAAAAAATATTGTGCATTCTGGAAACATTTCAACACAGCAAGCTACTTGCTATGTCAGAAGACCTCACCACGCCAATGCAAGCCAAAATTTTTAAACTTTTCAAAATCACAAGTTTCAGTGTACACTTACTTGCTCAATGATCCTTGAATGTTTGTGCATGTTTACTTTGGCATTTATACTGTTTTTTATAAATTTTCTCAAAAGTCATTTTGCCACATTTAAAAAAATCATGAAACCAAACCATTGCCAAAACCATGCCCATAACTTGAGTGCACTCTTATTTTTTTAAAAAGTTCAAAGTGCAGCTGCAATGGAATCCATACTGATTAGACTTAATTAAAAAATCTTGCTAAATCATCATTAATGCAAGTTTTTTATTTGACTTTTGTTATCATATCTATTAATTTCTACAAAAAAAATCATACTGTTTTATCTTCTTTAAATGCAATGATTTTCTGGTATTTCCAGATGCATTCTTATCTTTCAAATATGATTAATCAGTTTTTTGAACTGTCTCAGGAAAGCAAGATGTATTTGTGTCAATGCCAACTGGTTCAGGGAAATCATTGTGCTATCAGTTACCTGCCACTGTTATTCCTGGAATTGCCATTGTCTTCTCACCTTTGATTGCATTGATTCAAGACCAAGTAACTTATTTAAAATCAAAAGGACTCAAAGCTGAAACAATCAATTCAAAGCTTGACGTTGCTGAAAGAAAAAGGATTTGGGATGAATTGAATCTTCTGAAACCAAACATAAAGTATCTGTATATAACACCAGAATTGGCAGCTACAGAAGGCTTCCAAAAGCAGCTGTTATTGTTAGGCAAAAGAGGCTTGATATCTTTCTTTGTTGTGGATGAAGCACATTGTGTTTCCCAATGGGGCCATGACTTCAGGCCAGATTATTTAAAACTTGGAAGGTTGAGACAACAATTCTCAAGCTATAGATGGGTAGCTTTAACTGCCACAGCAACAGCTCACGTTAAGGGTGATGTGATCAACTCTCTTGGACTCACTAAACCAGTTTCTGTATTCAAGACAAGTTGCCATCGTCGAAATATTTATTATGATGTGAGGTGGGTATCATTTAGTTGATGCAGTTGAAATTTTCACTTGTTCCATCAAAGTACTGTTATATTCAATAACTTGTCCTTTGGCTTAATTTATAGGTTTAGGAATGTCTATTTGGAAAGAATGTCAATCTGTGAAAGCAATTTTGCTTTTAAGAAAGGAGGCCAATAATATCAGGCCCTCACATGCAAAATTTCACAATAGCTACCAATAAAGCACCTAAAATAATTTGTCTAAGTGACTGAATATGGTAAATAATGGCAATTTTGACAGACATAAATGATTAAGATGTTTTTGAACAATTTGACTTGCTTTGATCAACAGAAAGTTTCAGTTCTTTGTACTTGCTATCATTACTGCTTTTCTCACCCTTGTGTAAATGTCTCTCCTTTTAACTTATCAAAACAATCATTAACACTTAAGTAGGGATTGCTGTTATAAAAATGACCATTACCATTGTGTGATAAAATGCCCCTTAATTCCTTTTTCAAAAAATCACTTTGCTAAAGAAGCATTTGATAAACAAAAAAATGAGTTTAAAGCCGCCCCTATTGTATGCCAAAAGTACTTAGCTTTTGAAACCTTACAGTTACCTTAGCACAGTTCTGTCATCCATAAAACCTGACGATTTTATGCTTTCAGGTTCAAAGAAACTTTAAAAGATGCACAATGTGATTTAGTGACTTTTGCAAGGAACGCTCTTGAGAAAGTTCCAGGAGATTCAGAAGACAAAGTAAGTTTTGCCGTTGTTTTCTATTCATGCTATCCCTGTGTACGTTTTTTCCTGACTGTAAACGTGGTATGCAACATTTCTGTATTTAGAGCAACATTTCCTTAGAACATCCACATGGAATCACAAATAGAGGTTGATTAAGTATAGAAGGGAAACTTTCGGTTTTCAAAGAGAACCTGTTCCAAATTTCAAGAGAAACAAAAGTGATTGTTATTTCTTGTATGCAGATAAAATTATCCCTTTCAACATTGAACAGAGGTGAAGAAAATTTAATTTGATAAAAAAGTTTGTATTCATATTATGATGTTGGCCTTATATGAACTGTTCTCTTTAAAGCAAACATATAAATCAAATTAGAACTGGATCATAACCCAATAGGGAGAATGGAGCAAATCTCTAGATAGACATAGTAAATAATACTTGTTTGGCTTGCTGTGCTATTGTAAGACTTTTTGCATTATAAATTTCTACTAGTCCTCTCTGCTTTACCCATGTAGAAGGATGCACCATGTGGCATAGTCTATTGCAGAACAAGAGAAAACTGCCACCTTATTGCTGGCCTTTTAACTAGAAATGGGATACCTTCAAAAGCTTACCATGCAGGTTTGAATCAGTAATGTGTATGTACACCTCTCTTTCAAAAAGGTATTAAGATACTAGAAAAATTTTCTCAGGGCCTTTTTGCCCAATTGCTCCAATTTCTTTCATTAAAATATGTCACTGAATTCTTTACCCAATTATTCATTTGTTTTGTTCTTTGTTTTTTAACACCACTTGTTTTTTAACATTAAGCAAACCCTGTTTCACTCAATTTAAACTGTGTTGACTATCTTAAATTGTTTTAATAGTTTTCATCAATATGTTAATCACATTTTTGTAGGGCTTTCTGGAACAGAGAGAGCTGCCGTTCAAAATGAGTGGATGGAAGGTATCACGCCAGTTATTGCAGCAACAATAAGTTTTGGCATGGGAGTCGACAAGGCAACCGTAAGGTATATGAGTTCTGAACTGTTGCCTTGCATAAAGAGTGAATTTCTGGCGATTTCTCTGATTTATGTCCTTTGAGTCCCTGCATTCAAAAGGCCCTTTCTGGTATACTGTGTAGGGTAATCAAGATTCTCACAAACAAAACACCATGGAACTGGTCCCGATAAAAATAGGGTAGATACGGCCATGGGGCGAAGTGAAAAGAGGTGATGAGATTTAGGAAGGCTGTGCAATTATGTGTATTAGGAATGCTTTTTACTGCTTTAGAGAAAAAGGTTTATTCATTGCTGCACTGGAATATTTATTTTGCAATTCAGAAGCGCTTTTTTCTTCTTATTTAGTAGCACTTTGCTCTTTAGCAGTACTTCTTATGGTAGTCATAATGTTTTATGATACATTGTACATAGTACCTTGTTGTATCTAATTCACCAAAATCTCAAATCTGCAACTGGGACTAAATTCGTCAGAGATCATAATGAAACCTTATGAAAATAACAATCAGATTGTTTCCTGTCTTTTGTGTAGCTAGCTTTTGATCGCATTCATCTTATCATGACATACAATCATTTCCATATCTAGATTTGTAGCACATTGGACAGTACCAAAGTCGATCGAAGGGTACTACCAGGAATCAGGTCGAGCTGGCAGAGACGGCGAAGCCTCATTTTGCAGGTTGTACTACTCTAGGTGAGTAAATCTATCTGATTAGATTGCATTCAATTCATTCTGATCCTGCAGGGATCCACTGTATGTCCTAATCAAACAAAATGGCGCTAGTTGTCTTATAAGATATTTAGGAAGAGGAGGTTCTGAGACTTTTCTGCAAATGGTGCTGCCATTTATAAATTTTCCTGACGTCCAGTTTTATACATCTTAGTCTTATCAGTGCTATCGACCTACCTGCTCTAAAGGGTTGCTGTCGACACCGTTTGCTAAATGAGGAGAAGTGGCGTCACGCAGTTTAGGGCACCTAAGTTCGATTACTAAGTGTCCGAGATAAAGAAGGGCCCTAAAATGTGATCATGCCCATGTTTGCAGCATGTGTAACTCAGCTCACCATTCGTTAAAGCGAAAAATTATCAGTTTGGCATCTTGCTGTTGTGTTTGAAATCTCTACACCATGCGACAGGACCTTCTGGCAGTCCTTAAATAGGGGTCCCGTCTTAATTTTTACGAAGGACCCAGGTCCCTCTGTAACGTCACTGAGCAAGGCACTATGTTTCTGAGAAAATCCTGTTCGCAAATTAGAAGCAAACTTTGCATGTGCAACACGCTTTATAAAGTAATTTATTGTCAGAAAGACATTTTAAAGTATTGAAAGACAACTTTCGTACAGTTTTTACTTTCTTGCTAAATTTTGATCAATCATCTTAAATTGTCTTTAGGAAGGAAAAAAGAACGGTTTATTTCCTTTTGCAGCAAGAGCTATCACGCAAACAGGTACGTCATTTTTTGCCGAATTTGTTTTAGGTATCAATTGCAAGTTTTATTTTAAACTTTCTAGTAGTGATGTAACTATTAATGTGCATTCCAGTTGGGTATCGGCTCCTTGAAGCCGTATAAAGAGAAAGTTTCAAGTTGATTTTTTAGAAAACCATCTAAAAGTCAGCTAAAGTTTTCCATTGCAGCTTCGGTAATTTTGATAGCGAATATTACTTAGGATTTGAGTCTGATGCAAACTTCCTGTTACCAGTTCCTGTTAATAATTTCTAGCATCCATCTTGACCTATTGTATAAATGTTTTGATTAGCAGCAAGCCCAAAAATGTTGAAAACAAGACATTCGTTGATAAACTATCGACTTTTGTTAGGCCGGGGATTTCTTAAAACATAACTGCCTTATTTTCAACTGCTCTCCTTTTATGTTATTAGAAAACTGTTCTTCCTTAGTAAAACCATTCTCTTTGAGAGAGAAAATTACTGAAAAATGTTTTGTATCCTCAAAGGGACATGGGTGACGAATTAGAATTGGAAACCTTAATAATGTCGCTTTTATTTTGAATAATATCAACCATTTTCTCTCTAAATTACTCATTATATAACTAATGTGTTTGTCTTTCATTATCTCAGTCAAAACGATCGAACTTTGCAAAGACACCTGGAGATGAAGCATCAGAACAAAGTTTTGAAGCTCTTCTTAAATATTGTGAAGAAGTCCAGTGAGTTTAAAGCATATTTTATGAGATTTTTAATCCATGATAAGTGGTCTAAAAATATTTTTGACGACCCTGCAAGAATAGACGTTTTAGAGAATATACTAGGAGAAAACGTGAGGGGCTATGTGGTCCGGGCTGGGCTCGATTCCGCAACCAGCAACACTAAACATTACTGTTATACGAACAGAGCTAACCAGTAATGTTTCCATATCTAAGCCAAAAGTTGGGCTACTCACTTGCCCCATCTTCCTCTTTACCAAACATACAGGGGAGGTATCCGTCGAATGAATTTTAAACTCAGCCTTTTCCACGCTCTTCCTTCATCTCTTCCCTATAAATGTATGATCCCATTTATATTTCAGCACACCCTAGTGGATGTGACAATAAATAGTTTTTTTGTTCTTCTTTTCAACATTTTTATCAAATATTTATGCTCAGAAGAGTATCAAGATAATTATGGCTAATTTGCATAGACCTGTCTTGCTGTTTTTTCGGCTGAAATGTAGAACTTTTCACAACTTTAATTGGAGTTCTATCTCGTCTTTCTTTTAGTTGCCGACATGCTAGTATTGCGTCCTATTTTGGCGATGATCGTCCAAAGGTAGCATTCATTTCAAAATATAACTTCATTTGCTGTGATATGTAATAGATTAGATATGCCTTGAAAACATTTATGATTGATACCAAATGCCCTTGAAGCATACATAACTTCTTGTTGTTCAATTTATAGCGTTGTGAAGAAAAATCTGCGACAAAATAAGCTTACTGCTCCAAGGTCTTTGGGAGAGAAATACCTTTTGGAGATATGTGTCAGTTTTTTATGGAACATAATGTTCCCATATA